CACAAAACCTGCAGGGAGAAGGCTGCACGTACTTACTTGGTGATATTTAATATCATGACCTAAGTAAAATTGTTCCTTAAAACACTTTGGTAGCTTTGAAAATAGTAATAATCTTGCTAACATCATAAATGACTTTTCTCAGTTTTACCAAACAAATAATGATGATATGTCTCCTGTTTTATTAACGTTTTTCACTGTTGACAGAAAAAAAACATCGTTTTCCATGACTAGAAAATTCATTATAGAAGTTATTTGTGCAGGCAAGTCCATTAAAATGGCCATAATTTATGAGGTTTATTCTCTCTTGGGAGACCAAACAAACCAGCTGCCCTTTCTTGGTCTTTGGGGGTGTCACCAGCACTGGTTATCAGTTAAAACAATAGTGAATGGGTATTAGCTATGTGAGCCTCAGCTGCCCAAAATATTTGTAGTGGAGTGGTGGTATGAGCCAGCCTACTGGGGATTCATTGCCCCATGTGTGTGGGGGGCAGATAGTCCCAGACTTCATGAAAAACTCCTCATCAATCTTCTTACTCTTACTTCGGCTTTCCCGTGCTGCCCTCTGGCTCTTGTTGTATGCGCAGGAACTGTTCTTTGACCCAAAACGGCCAAGATTAATATTAGTCTTTAATTCTGCAATCTGCAATATGCTTAAGTGACTTTGATTTAATCCTGGACACCTGAATAGTGATTTAGAGTTAATTCAGTTTGGTGGAATTTATATTCAGTTGATCAGATTTTAAAATTTTACTTTTTCTTTATTTCATCTCACATTTGGATGAACTTGCCTGCTGGAGTTCATTTTTGGTAGTTGAGATGTTATTAATCACAGATAGGATTTTCCTGACGGTGCGTGGAGGGAAAGTGAGCTTTACTGTTTGACAATGATGTCCAGTAGATATGACAGGCTTTTGCTGAATAAGACACAGCGTAAGATCTTTAGACGTTACAGACAGGTGCCAAAGCATGATCCACGGTTGAAGCATTTTTGTGCTGATATCCACAGCAATTTCTTGGATATGTTCAAAAGGGCTGAGGACCCCAGTGTTACATCAGTTTGTTTCACCACATGCTGCATGTGCTATTAATTTTTAGTGAACTATTTCATTTTTACATTGGTTTTGCTCATTTGAAGGTGACCTTTGTTGTTATGAATTTATTGGCTGCATGCCTCTTTGTGGTTATCCTATAAGGAAAAGACCAAGATGTCTGTTGCTTTAGATTTCTTCCTTTGAGAGGTGCATGTCTTCCTCAGTGATGAAATAAATGTGAGCACCAGTTTGGCTTGGCTTTTTAAACAAGATGCAGATTTTCTTGCATGCCGTTTGCATGGCAGTATTTCATATCGTTTTCAATGTGCAGACTGTTTTTGGAAGGCTCTGTGATTCCTCAGAATGTGTCACTGCTTTGTCGAGAGAACCGAGCAGGTGAGGTCACTGTGTGAAACGGCTGTCTTTTCTCTGTGGCTCTGTCAGTTGATTGCGTTTTCTGCTTAAGCAAACTAGTGTGAAATTAAGTCACGGTTGCAGCATGTGTTTAAACTGTTAGGGAAAGCCACATACTATGTTAAATTAACTCTTTCTTGCCTTCTGCCCCCTTAATTCCCTGTTTAACAGTGTCAAGCTTCTTAGTTATCAAAATACAGTATGCGGATTTTCATATTCTCCCCAATATCTATTTTTGGACATTCTCAAATAGAAGGTTCCATGTATCCCCTGTGTGCTTAAATATTGCTATCACCAGAACCCAAAATTGGGGTTGATCCTCAGCCAGCAAGACTCTGGCTGTGGTGTGGTTGATGGCGGTCCCTATGGAGCCAAGGGGCAGTGTGCCACGTCCTCTGCTCTCATACCACTGTGTCCTAGAGGCACTGCAGAGGCTGTAATTTCGTGCTTGGAACCTCTCAGTTTGAAGGCTAATTAGGAGCAGGAGAGCAGGATCCCAGCGAGTAGGACCAAGGCCTTCTTGTTTGTGACTTCAGGCAATAGAAATTACAGCATAAGATGTCTCTGGCAAAGCTCAGCAAATCCACATTATTCAGTTCTTATTGATCCTTTTGCAACACGTCCTAAGAAGAACCAGCCAGTTTTCAGTCTCAAGAGCATAAGAAAAACCCTGCTGGGTCAGACCAAAGTCCGTCTGGTCCAGCACTCAGGATACGTGGTGTCAGAGCCACTGCCCACGGGAACTCCCGGGTGGGATGCACGCAAGGGCACAGCTCCTCAGCAACTGGTGCATGCAGGCCCGTCACCTCTGGTAAGGGAGGGAGACTAGTAGCCACCTGTAGCTGCCTCATCCATGAATCTGCCCAATCCCCCTCTAAAGCCATCCAAATTACCTTCCTGTGGCAGTGAATTCCTATATATGTTTTGTATCTGTCCTAAGCTTCCCCCAGGCAACCTGATGGGATGACCCCGGGTTGCTGTTGCCCTGCCTCACAGGGGAGCTGCCGCAGTGCCTTGATCATATTCATTGATCCTCTCTGTGCTTCTTCCAACTCAGTAATGTCCTTTTTCAGATAAGGTGGCCCAAACTGAGCACAGTATTCTAGGTATGGCAATACTAAAGATTTGTACAAAGGGACTAAGCTCTTTCAGTTGTATTTTCTATTCCTTTTCCAATTATCCCTTGCATGGATTTTGCCTTTTTCACAGCAGCTGCATGCTGAGCTCGTTTTCACTGAGCTGCCCACCCGCAAGATCCCTGTCTTGCTCAGTCACTGCTGGTTCCACCAGGGTATACTTGAAGTTGGGATTTTTACCAACTTTACACTTCTTGCTTGGATGTACACGTTACACTTGCATTTGTTAAACTGCGTTATTTGCCTTTTTGATGCCCATTCTCCCAGCTGGGAGCAGTCCCTTTGGAGCGCCTTAAGTAGTTTAGTATCACCAGCAAACCTGGTCACTTCACTGCTTCCTCCAGATCATTCATGCCCACCCGCAAGATCCCTGTCTTGCTCAGTCACTGCTGGTTCCACCAGGGTATACTTGAAGTTGGGATTTTTACCAACTTTACACTTCTTGCTTGGATGTACACGTTACACTTGCATTTGTTAAACTGCGTTATTTGCCTTTTTGATGCCCATTCTCCCAGCTGGGAGCAGTCCCTTTGGAGCGCCTTAAGTAGTTTAGTATCACCAGCAAACCTGGTCACTTCACTGCTTCCTCCAGATCATTCATGAATAGGTTGGAAGGCGCTGGTCCTCACCCTGCAGGGCCCCACTGGTGACCTTGCAGCACTGGGAGAAATTGCCGTTTATTCCCACTCACTGTTCTTTAACCAGTGAGTGATCTATAAGAGGAACTCCCCCGAGCATTCCGTGACCACTGACTAAATTGATCTTACATTAAACAACCCACAAATAGCCCAACTGCAGCTGATTTAATCATTGGAATCACAGTGGCCAGGTTTCCAGGAGATGGTGCAGCTCATTGTTGGTTGTTGTCGATGTTACTTGTTTCCTGTCTATTTTTATTTGTTTGTTTATTTCTGTGCTGTTCCATGGCTGGGCCTCTCTATGGATTATTTAACCCATGATGAGCTGCAGTGCCCAGGGCTCCATTTTGCACAGCCAACCCCTGCTTGGGAGTTGTTGTGGGTGCAAACCAAAGAATCTCCCCTCCAAATAGGCAGGGGGCATTACTTGAAACTTCACTTCCGTGAAGGTCTTTCAAATCTGAGGGCATTTAATCCTTCAAATGTAATAAGCCAAGGTGAGAAGCAAGAATCCTCACTTTGATAACTTCCCTGTTTTCATCCACATTCCGAACAAAAGCCCTTGGGACAGAATGGCATCTGGACGACAGCAAGATCTCCATGGGCAGCACTTATTTTGCTGCCGCCGTGTTGCGCTCAGCATCCAAAGCTCAGCGGTTCCAGCCAGCACTGCTTGGCCAGAAGGACACAATCCGTCTCATTCAGCCCCTGTCAGCGTGTGATATGTAAAGCAGGCCAATCTTGGCCGCAGCAAATGGCACCCCTGATTCTGACATAACTGGGAGTATCCCTTGTAGGAGGAATATGTTAACTGCTTGCATGACTTAGAAGTTATGAGAGCCTTAACTTTTTAACCTCCTTGCTTTTTAGTGAGCAAGTGAGTTTGTAAGTGACTTAACGCTTTTCAGTCAGAAGTTGCTTCTGGAAAGAATAAAACCTCAGTCATTTTAATCATGAGCCTCAGAGTACTTCAGTGTAAGTATGCCAAATTTAGCTTTAGCACAGCTGTATGATTAGCATTTCACTGTCTTTCAAGGCCTTCAGAAATATATATCTCAATAATTGTTACACCAACCCTGTAGGGCAGGCCATTTTGATATCTCTGTACTATCCCCGTATCCACATAAATTGCCCAGTAGGCCAGTGCAGCTTGTGTGTGTGTGTCAGGTGGAGGGGCTTATGGGACACTCGAATGTAGTTCTCACAGACCGCAAATCAGACTAAGTCCTGAAGGAGCTCACCTGAGATTGTGAGCCGGAGCAGACTGCCGTTGCTTCCTGCGCATCCATGGCACCGCCTTCCTCCTACGTTCTCTCACGTGCAGGAACTACCTTCCTATCTCTCTTCCTTCCCCCTCTTCATGCATTAACTTGTAAATGCATATGGTGTGTGAGATGATCGAATACATTAACTGCTTTCAGTGAAAATGCCTGTTCCTAGTAAGGCAGTTTGTACAGGCAGAGTTCTTAAAACTGAAACGTGGGCGGGAGGGTTCGAGCGCACTCGGATCATCAGTTCATTGAAATACCCAGTTTCATAAGCTCTCATACTCATTTCCACCCTCCCCTACCATCTTCTGTTGCGTTAAAATACAGGTAGGACTTACCTTTTTACATTTCTGTATGAAGTGTTTAATTTATGTGAACTGTTTATATAAATAAATTGCCCACAGTACAATGCAAATCTGTCAGACTCGCATCTCCTTCACAGGATAAGATGTTTTCTTTAGTCTTGTGATTATATATACCTTTCATTATGTCATGTTTTATCTTTTGCTCCAGAACTTTCAGCAATTGAGCCTATTGTCTTTCTTCGACCTTTTTTGGAAGTTATCCGTTCAGAAGATACGACGGGTCCCATCACTGGATTGGCTCTGACCTCAGTCAATAAGTTCCTGTCATATGCACTAATAGGTATGGGTCTAGAACAATTGTTTTCCTTTTCAATATCAGCTAAAGCTTAAGCTTCAGAAAGCTCTTGCTTGGATGAGCAATGCATATCTATAAACTCTGAAGTATTGTAACTGAACTGTGAAGCCACCATGCTGCGGGCATTTCGCAGGCAGGAAGTCCCAGGGCACTGCTGCTTTCCAGCTAAAGGTTGCTGAGCTCAGTGGCCTTGTGATGGCCATCAGTTAAGTGCAAGCCTGTGCTGTTTAGCCAGGGGTGAGTAGATGAGTGACTCAGAGTGCCTGATACCTGGATATTCTGGTCTTTAAAAATGAATTCTTTAAGTGCTCTTGAAAATGAGCATCCTTGAGCTTCCTTGTCTTTTTGTTGAATGGGTGTGGCACACACGTGTTCTGAAGCTTTAGCTAGAGAGGGCTCTTTTTAAAAGAAAGGTCAGGAAACGTCTTGTTTCCTTCAAGTCTTGTGTTTGTAGTTGGTGGAGGGAGAGTCACCCAGGATTGCCATATTTTACTTCAGAGTTTATGCACCTGAAGCAGTACAGGGAGCTGGAATCAAAGTGCTTTCCCTACCTTAGACGATGCCCACTGATACCTGGGTGAGCTCATAGTTGGATGCATTCGGCAAAGCAGCTGCCTGGGACCTCACTCTGCTCCCTGTTGGCAGGGAGGTTTGGAAAACCCTCTGTGTGTGCTGGGCAGGGCTTTGAGCTGCGTGAGATTTGACGCAATACGGAGAGCCCGTCTCACTAATTGATGGCAGGCGTCACTCTCCTGTTTTCGAGCGTGGTATCTGAACTAGGGCGAAAATCCTCCTGTTTTAAATGAAGGTACAGACCTGAGCAGCTTCATTTTTCACTACACACCTGGCCACCTAGATAGTAGGATGCTCTTCCAGGTGAGTAAGTGGGCCAGACTGGCCCCTCCTTTAGTGGGCATGGCGAAGAGCACTTTGCCTTCTCAGCACTAAGTACAGAAACCACGTGGGTGTCTGAGGGAGGGGTGGAACACAGTGGTCCTCCCCGGCAGCCCATGGCGACTGTGTGCTGGGTGGGCAGTGGAGAGGGCCCCCTGCCTCATTTAGTGCCGAAACCAAGCAGGCTGCTGGTGGAGGCGTGGAACGCCTGTCCCTCCTCAGCAGCCCACTGTATTTCCAGGTGGGGGAGTTGGATCCAGTTTTAGGCATGTGCAATTTAGGTTTGTCGAATCAAATTTTCCTGGCCCCTCCTCCCCATAGCAGCCCTTCTGCCCCCCTGGAAATGGGGGAACCTATTGAAGGGGGAGCTGTGCTGTGTGGGGGTGAGTCACAAAATCTTCTGTGAGCAAAGACCTTTTGCGATGGGAAGCAGATCCAGGGTTCAGTCCTGGCTGCACGGGAGCTTGTGCTCCCTCCCTCGTGTCTAGCGTGGAGGCTAGCGAGGGCCGGCTGCCCCTCACTGCATCTGTGTCCTGGCCGTGCAGTCGGACAAGCCTCTCGCGTGCCCAGCATAGAAACATGCTGAGCTTGCGGTGAAGGAACCGAAGGAGTTCCGTCTCTGCCACCAGCCCGCTGGGTTTCTCGGCCGGATGCTGGTGCTCCGGGTTTGGTCTGACATAAGGAAGGGGAGTGGAGGCCATGGAAGGACGAGTGAGGAATTCTGCCCTGGGCCCAGTTTCTCTGGCGTGGCCTTGCCAAAACGTGCCCTTTGTTGTGCAGATGCCAGCCATGAGGGCACAGCTGAGGGAATGGAGAGTATGGCAGATGCTGTTACGCATGCTCGGTTCGTGGGCACAGACCCTGCAAGTGATGAAGTTGTTCTGATGAAAATCTTACAGGTACGTGGAGCAAAGCCGTCTCGCTGTAGCCCCTCACGCCTGCCTCCTGGGCCTGCTATTCAGTGCAAGCCGCACTGGGGAAGAGGCGCCCAAGGCCTCGCTGCAGCATTAGTGCTACTTGTGTTTTTAAGTGCATAGCACAGGTTTCTGAATTAAGTTTTCTCTGTGCAAATAGTCCTTAACTGGTCTCAGGTGGGGGATTTCTGTCATTTGTTTTCTGTGGCCAAAGCTAGATCTTCTTGATGCAGTAGAGACGGGGGTGTGGAACCCAGTAATCTTATGCAACAAAGTATTGTTTGTCCTGGTAATTGTAATGGCAGACATCAGTTGTATGTGCCAAATGTTCCCTTGCGTTTGCTTCCTCCTCAGTTTTTATACTGCCTGACACTGGTCTTGGAATGTCCTCAGTGTGTGTGTGTGTGAATGTCATGTTGATTTATTTTCTTTCAGGTCCTGCGGACTCTGCTCCTCACTCCAGTTGGAGCGCATCTCACGAATGAGTCCGTTTGTGAGATCATGCAGTCCTGCTTCCGTATCTGCTTTGAGATGAGGCTTAGTGGTAGGTTTTCAGTGCAAGCCAGCATATCCCAAACTTTCACAAATGGGGAATGGCTTTTAGGAAATAATGAGAATGCTGTCTACTGTCAATCTGTGTGCTGGGACTTTAGCAGGTAGAAAGTAGGTTGCATTTATGCCACTGAGAGTCACAGCTTACTCAGGAAAACAGGGTTTGGTGTGCCACTTTCTTTCCAGCAGCTTGACTGTCTCTCACCACCCACCATCCCTGTTCAGCTCTGCAGCGCCACTTAGTGTGTCTTCACCCGTTGTGCTGCACTTCTGAATCTGGATCTGGTTTTAATAAATTTTCAGTAATCCTTTGTAAACAACACTTGGAGGGGAGTATACATAGGGAAGCCTCTAGATAATATCAGACTGAGTAATGACACCTGTGTTATTTGTTTTTGTCTTCAGAGTTATTGAGAAAATCTGCAGAGCACACTCTGGTCGACATGGTGCAGCTGCTCTTCACAAGGTAAACCTCTTTGTGTTTGTCTCAGTGCTGCTCAGATGGCTCTTTGAGGACAGAAAGATCCCTCTCTTCCAAGTGCGTGTGTGCACGCGCAAGCACACATGTGTGTATGTGTTCACCGCCCAGAAAGTTATCTAGATGAAGCATTGCTGGATCCTTGTACAGCGTGGTGGTTCTTCCCAAAATGGATGTTCACCATGCATAGGCTGCATTGTCTCATTATCTCCTGTTCTGAGCAAGGAAAAGTGCAGGATTATATTAAACCAAGCAGGAGAATATAAGCTAATATGAAACCGAATGCAGATTAAGTAAAATTAGACGCCTGTCATTCAGCATTGAGGGCCAGTCTAATGGGGAAAAAAAGGCTTTTACTGCTCCAGAAAATGGGAAGACTTGTAAAGGGGTTTTGGTGATCCCACCATGAATGCCTTTTATGGTCCCTTAATACTTTGCTCTGGCCCAAGTCCAAAAGCCTCGAATTCCAGATCACAAGGATCGCACTTGGATGTATAGAAGGCGGCAGGAGAAGTCTGCAACGCATAGTTTTTATCATTGATTACCTACTTGCATTGAAGAGCCACCTCTTCCTCTGATGTTTTGCCAAACAGAGCCTTTGAAAAGCTATTTCCATCAGAGTTTTCACGTGAGTGGTGTTAAATTGCATGTTAGCCAAAGGTGGGCATGTGAGGCAGCTGTGCTAGTTCAGACTGCAGTATACTCAGCCATAAGCCACACAAGATCCCAGCAAGGATGAAGAAGGAGAATGTGTGCTTGGCCCTTGACCCCATGCCCAGTCGAAATTACCTGCCTGTCCTGCCTGGAGGAGCCCAGTGCTGCAACAAGGTGCCAGGTCAGCTCCCTGGGCTTGACGGCAGCGTGGAAAGAATAGGCACTCACCAAGCTAATTCTATTAAGATGAAAGTGCCTTGACCCCAGGAAAAGGGCAGTGGCGACAGAAATAGTGCAGGGGGGTGGGGACTTGAATGGCTTGGCATTAATAGTTTCACTATAGACTGGATCAGAACTAACGAAATCTTTTTCTGTATAGCATTGTACTTGCATTCTGCTATCAACTGGTTGTTCTGCTTTGATAGCATAGGCTGTTCATCAGCATTCCAGCAGTTCAAGGAGCAACGGGATCAAAATGAGTGCAGTCCAGCTTCTGTGTGAGGCTGGAAAAAAGTCGGCCAGAAAGCTCCCCCCTCCCCAACACTGCTTGTGTGCTTTGCATAGAAGCAAGAAGTTTGCACTGTAGTTGTACCATCTTAAGAGAGAAGATGATCCATCAGGTGACCTGGCATTGACAGTCACTTTCTGGGAATGTCATTTCCAGCCACAGCTCTGAACTCCAGCCAAATGAATCACCAAAAGTCATGCTTTTTCTGACATTGGCTCTGCAACGTTAGTTTTGATCAGAAGAGGGCAGCGGAATAGCACAAGAGAGGAAGTCTTCTGAGTTGCAGCTGGAACTGCTTGCTGTCAGATAAGAGAGGGCTCTGTGGTTCCCCGTCCTTGATCATTTTGTCTGCTCATATTGTTTCAGATTACCTCAGTTTAAAGAAGAGCCTAAAAGTTATGTGGGCGCTAATATAAAGAAGGTAAGACCCAAACTACTGTTTTTTCCTTTGTCAGCTTCCTTGCGTTTAAGCATTTACTTGTAGCTGCAGTACGGGGCAGGGGTGGGGTGGGGACAGCTCACCAAATGAATGCTTTCAATTAGCAGTGAGGCAAATTCACAGATACGCCAGTGGCACAGTAAAAAATGCCATGCAGGTTTATCCAGTGATAAATTTGGTAGTTTCTGACTCTTGCTACCTGCGTGTATCAACCATCAGCTGCTCCACTGAGCCCAGAGACTGTAGGAAAGTGCCTCCTGCCAAGCACAGCGGCTGCTTCTTTCAGTCATTAAACCGCTTCTTTGTGGTTTCTGTGCAGTGGCTTCTGTTGCTTCCGCGCCTGTACAGCGCCAGGTTCAGGAATCTTAAGAGTTTTAAGGAAGGAGCTGGCCGCAGCGGCTCCCTCTCGGGAAGAGAAGCTGCCCATATCTTAGGACTGTGACTTCCAGTGGGGTGTCTGCAGACACAAGAGCACCTGTGAAGGCACCGCGGTGCCAATAAACTCTCCTCCGCACCAGTAGGAACCACGGAGGAAACAATCCCACAAAGTACATGACAGGCGAAAGAGGAATCTCGAAACGTGTCAGTGTTTGCCACTCCCTTCCTGGCCAAGCAGCCCAGCAAGGTAGAGGAGCGGAGTGTGCGTCACAGACTTGCTTTAAAAGGACGTCACAGAGATAGGAATGCATGCAGTGATGCTTGTGTTCCTGATCTCCCCTCCCCGGCTCATGTGCCTGTGGCCTCCTGTTCTGCCCTGCTGCTGCGGCTGAGTCTGGTTTGTGGGTGGGGTGGCAGTCGCGGTAGGAAAGGAGCTGCTCCCGCTGCTGCAGTTCTCGATGTGCTGCTGGGCCCAGAAAGGGTGGCGCTCCCTGCTGGGAGGGGAGGGGAGGGGAGGGGGCCACCTCTTCGTTCAGTTCTCTCTTGACCATCGTATGAGCAGGAGTGGTGAAGAACGCTTCTGCAGCAGCACTTTGCAGCACCTTTAATAAGGGTTTTTCTGACACTCTGTTTTTTAAAATTCATTTTCCTCCTTTCTTTGTTGACATTCTGTTTATTTATTTAATTTTTTGGGGAGTAAGTTTTATTCTTAATAAACCACCCTATCCCACCTTATACAGTGTCTTGGATCAGTGATAACATAGAAACAGAGCAAGTCAGAAGGGGTCTCCCGGGCCATCTAGTCTGACCCCCGGCTCCAGCCCGCTCCGCTCACCACATGCCCACCATGCGCACGTCCAGCCTATCCTTGAGCACCCTCACCGATGGGGCTTGAACCGCCTCCCGTGGGAGCCCATTCCACACCCTCGGGGTCCTGACTGTCAGGAGGTGCTTCCTGGCATCTAAATGGAACCTGGGATCCCTGAGCTTTGCTCCGTTGGAGCGCGTCCTGCCTTCCTCTGCAGGGGAGAACAGGTCCCTACCCACATCCATGTGATAAATAAGACACAGTATCATATGGCCCTTTTTTGTTTTTTGTTTTTTTTAAGAGTTAGGCAGCCACACCTCTGTTTAACATTTTCCCAAGGTGCCTCTAGTGAACAGGGTACTAGGAATTTGTTATTTGGCTTACACCAATCCTCATGATACGAGGAACTTAAAAAGAATCATGACAATATTCAGAACTAACACTTTCTCATATATTGATGCATTTTATATGTACAAGACAGAAAAAACTGCCTCTTTAGGAAACTGAATGTTCCGTCTGATCCCGAGAGGCAGCGTGGCCTAGCAGTTAGCATGTCAGACAGGGAGATCCGGGTTCTCATCCCCACTCGGTCGGGAAGCTCGCCAGGTGATTTTGGGCCAGTCATTTAATCTCAGCCCAACATCCCTCACAGGTTGTTGTTATGGGGATAAAAATGGAGTGTGGAGAAGCATGTAAGCTGCCTTGGGTTTTTTGAAAGAGGAAAAAATGTGGAATATGACTGCAGCAGCAACAGTGATGGCAGTGACGATGCTGACAACACGCATTTGTTCACCTTTCTCTAAGCAGCATAAAGATCCAGGGCCACAGGGTGGATGCACATGGTTCTTCTTAGATCAGGCTGTGCCGGTGGGTCCCTAGAGCCAACACCCATCAGCCCCAGCTGGCATGCCTAGTGGCCTGGATGCTTCCAGGATTAGAGTCTGGACACATGTGGAAGGGACCCTGTTGGTGAAGGCTGCCCTGCCCTCGTGTCCTGGGAAGTACGGGCTGAGGATTGCATCCGCAGGGCCAGTGCTGTGGGAGCTGGATCGGTACCAGGAGGAGGAGCTCTGGTGGTGTGCGCTCAGCCCACAGAGCCGTCCTCCCTTGCGGCCACGTGGTCCCAGGGGTGGGTGTGGCCCGCGCAGGAAGAGGCCGGGTGGGTTGCCTGAGCAAAGCTGCGCAGGGGTTTTCCACTGCTCGCCCGGCGGCTCCTCTCGGCTGGCGGGGGCCCTGGTGTTCAGTCTTCTTGTCCTGCTGGTCCTGCACTGTGTGCCTTGATTTCATTCTTCGCGTTGTTGCAGTGATTCTCTCTCTGAGCTGAGTTTTCTTTTACTTTTTTCAACCCATATATGTGACTGTCTTTCACAGATTTCTCCATATCTTCTCAACAGCCTGGATTTATATAGTGGGGAACAGTCCAAAGCCTTGAACCAGTTAGAGAGAGTGCTACTCCTTCAGAAACTGAAGGTCTCTTCCTCTCCTTCCCTTCTGCAAGCGTATTGGGTGGTAGCTGTGTGTTGTTGTGTAGCAAAAGCTTCCATTCCTATTCTGTATGCAGCATGGCTTTGGGGAAGAATGCATGAAGCACACCGTGCACAGATTTGGGATTGTGCTGAAAGGAAGGCTTACAGAGTGCGAAAGAGTGCCACCTTTTGTGGCATTATAAATATCTGAAACCTTCTGTCAGTATAACCTGAGAAGCAATGGAGGAAATCAGCTGGGGGTGCTGCTGTTAGTGTCGGTTTCTGTTGTACCGCTGAAAGGATCGGGACATGATGCTGTGTCCCTGTTTAATCATCGTGATTTCGAACATCCAGCCTACAGCCTCCAACACTGTTTTATTTTCTTAGGTGTCTCATATGAGCATGGTATAAATGACCCAGAGTGCAGAGTATAAGATGCCCTTTTATTGCTCGATAAGGAGGAACTGCATTTCAGTTTCATAACTTCACACAAAGAATGGTGATGGGGTTCTCACATTCACTTAATTGGGGAGATGTGGCAGATATCTCCCTCCGCTTGATAAGAGATACCATTGTCAGAAAGATAGTCAGCCTTTTGTTATTTGTGATTGCCAGCCTGACTGAGCAGCTCTCAGCTGTGTCCGCTTGCTTTGCTTTGCTTTGCTTTGCTTTGCTTTGCTTTGCTTTGCTTTGCTTTTGGTGTGGCAGCAGCTCGGGCTTGGTGGGCGAGAAGTGCATGTTCCTGCAGTCTAGAGAGCCCATCCCCTCGCCAGGGTCCCTGCCCAGCGGAGCCCCAGTGTCTGAGTGTTTGTCCCCGCTGTTGGATAGCCGGGAAAGCTTAGGGATCCTGTCAGCGTGCCAGCCTGCTGCTCAGTAGCAGGGAACGTTCAGGGATTCTGTTACTGAACCGACTGCCCGGCTGCCTGGGCTGGTCCTGCGGCTGAAGAGACCGGGAAGAGCTCCATCGTGGAGCCCAGCTGGCTTGTAGGGGCATTGGCCTGTGGTTCTTGCAGCCGCACAGCGCCATCCAGTGGGGCTTTCCCAAGTTATTCCCAGTTAGCCTTTCTGGCTAGTCAAGCAGTCTTCAGTTAAGCCCTTGATAGCCCTCCTATGATTCATGTGGCAAGCACAAATTAATTTGTGTCCAATTTGACTCGGTTGACTGTTTGTTTTTAGTTTTTTAATATACATACATGGGTTTGTATACATCCACAGTGATAGATACATGCGAAATGCATGTAAATGAAAATACAATCTGCTACATTGGGTTCAGCAAAAACAGTTGTTTAAATAAGTATTCATTTGAAGGTGGTTTCTGTATGCCCCTATTCAAAAGTGCTGAAAGGATTACAAGGTTGTGATCCATTGCGTTATAGGAGATGAGTGTTTATCCTTCCAGTATTGTAATGTCAGTCTTTTAACTATCAAGAGGGCTTGGAGAATCCATTTCTGCTGGAAATGCAAAAGCAAGCATAGATCAGTGAATATGAAAGACTCTTCTAATACAATAACCTCCTCTCCTCAGAAATCAACTGCTGAATATTGCCAAAACATACGTTTAAAAGGAGCATTAGCTCTGTTGCACCACCAGCAATGAGCTAAATTAGACAGCTCCTATTTAAAGAGCTCTTGCAATATCCATTACATGTGAAACAAGTTTTTGTTGAAAGATTGTAGCTTAAGATCCACAGATGCAACAGGTATACTCTGAAGCCACAGTTTAGACAGAACTGGACAATTTAATCCCTGCCTAAAATTCTGTATTTCATATTGATTCAGTGTAAGCATTTATAGACACAGATCCTGAGGTTGCTTTGGCTGAGCTTCCAGACATGATGAACATGCTGTAGCTGTGAAAGCTACCAGGCCAAAGCAGGACACTAACAAATCCTGTAGTTGTAGGTATTGACATTCAGTCATTGTTGGCAAGTCCTATTTGGAAAAGGAACAGGATAGCCAGAGTCTACTACCGACCACCCAATCAAAGAGAAGAGGAGGATTAAACTTTTGTTAAGCAACTTACCAATATTTCAAGGAAGTGTGCTGTGGCAGCGATGGGGGACTTCAGTTATCAATACCTGCTGGGAGACAAAATCTGTCAAAAGTGGTCCCTCCAAGAAGTTCTTGTCATGTATGGAGGATAACTTTCTTCAGCAGAAAGTGGAGGAAGGAACTAGATGATTATCTGTCCTCCACTTAATACTGACTAATAAGAATGATAAAGTGGAAGTAATAGAAATTCTGAGGGAAAGTGACTACAACATATGTGAGTTCTCGATTTTAAAGGACACAAAAATGCAGTATGGCTGTATGTGTACTTTGGATTTTGGGAAAGCTGATCTGAATAAATGTAGAACAATGGTAAGTAAGGTGCTATGACAAGTGACCTTAAGGGGAAAAGGCAAGATGGGTGGGAGTTTTTAAAAAAAAGGAAATTTAAAGGCACAATTGCAAACAATTCCAGCAAAAACAAAAGATAGTAGACAGCAAAAGAAACTAATGTGGCTCCACAATAAACTTTGAGTTGACATAAAACCAAAGAAAGACATGTATAGGAAGTAGAAGGAAGGCCAGGGGACAAAAGAAGAGTACAGGCAGGTGGCATGGAAGTGCAGGGATGACATCAGGAAGGCCAAAGGTGAGAATGAGTTGAGGCTATCAAGGGATGCTAAAAACACCATTTTTTTTTTTTTTTCAGTAAATGACAAAGAAAAGGCATGGTGATTCAGCTTCTTAGTGAGGAGGCCAAATTGGTAACAGATGATGAAGAAAAAGCCAAGTTCTACTTTAGCCCACTCTTTTCCCAAAAGCAGAAATGAAGTAGAAATCGAAGGGTCAGGATTAAAGATTGAGCTTAATAAACAAATGGCCAAATTTCTTTGAATGTGTTCACATCTCCAGGGCCTAATGAACTGCATCCTAGAGTAATAAGGACTGGCAGAAAAACTCTCAGAACTACTGTCTATTATCTTTGACAAATCATGGAGGACGGGTAAAGTGTCGGATTTCTGGAGGAGGGCTAATGCTGTCCCTGGCTCCAACAAGGAGGATCCTGGGAGCTACAGACCAGTTAATATGACTTCAATTTGCTGGGAAAATTCTGGAGCAACTCATACAGATATCATTCTATAGGCACCTTGAAGACAGTGGAGTACTTAGTAGAAGCCAGCATGGATTTATCAATTTATCTGGCCAGACTAATTTGATCTTGGTTTTTGATTGGGTAACCTCCCTTGTGGAATGTGGGAATATTGCAGACATAACGCATCTTGATTTCAGCAAAGCTTTCAGTGAAGTGTCCCAAGACATTCTGAACATCCAACTGGCGAAAAATGGGTGAGATGGAACAACAACCAGGTGGTTCCATAGTTGGCTGCAGAGCTGGACAGTTCCACCACCAGCCACTGTCCCCATGAGGAGCAGCTGTGGGGACCTGAAGAGGAACGCCAGGAGTGGGTGTGCCAGTCACCATTCCCAGTGACCAAACGCCTTCCATGCCCACTGCTGCCAGCAGGGGCTGCATGTGGAAGAAGGATGCTGCTGGTCTGAGCCTGAGCCTGGCAAGCACCCTGCCAGAATGCTGGGCACAGCTGGCAGGAACTCAGGCTCAGGGCTGCCGCCAAGTGAACCGCCATCCAGGGCGCCAAGCCCAGGGGTTCCTGCTCTTCAGTTCCTACTCTTATATGGGTCCCTCATGGATCGCTCGTTAAGAGCCATGTGGAGTACAGCTCTCTTCTGATTTGGTCAGGTGTTACCTGGAGCACCTGCAGTTTTAGACACTCACTGTAGTTTATGAAGAATATTGAGCATTTGAAATGTCTCCAGAGAAAGATTGTAAAAATGGTAAGCGCCTTGGAGACTGTGCCTATGAGGAAAGGTTGGAGGAGCTGAGCATGTTCAGTGTAGAAGAGAGAAGATTGATGCTGACTTTCAATATTTGAAAGGCTGTCGCATCAATGAAGGGAATTGTTCCTGTTTTTAACATTTACAGTAAATGCCAGTATAGTTTGGGCCCCGGGTTGTCTTGCTCCTGAGAGAATCTTTCTGCTCTCTTATTATCAAATGAGGCCCTTCTCTGGGTGTTTTCACTGTCAGAGGTCAGGCTGGTAAGGTCCTTTAGTGGGAATGCATGTCTTTGAAGAACTCTGCTGGAGTGTGATGCTAGATTAGTAAATTTTAGTTGGTAAGTGAAGGCCTTCTAGCTTCCAATATTTTTGATCATGCTGCTTTTTACTGAATGTATTTTGTGAATTGCTGCGGTATTATTTTAATATTGTTTTAGTGCTTTGGTATTTAGATTTTTTATCTTTGTTCCTTGCATGCCATCTCAGATGCTCACAGAACTGAGAGGTAGAGTAGTAATTAAAAATAAGGAAATAATGAGCAGTATCTTCCCTGCAACTTGCTATTCTTGCTCATACACCCCTCAAATAACAAGTTCTCATATACTGAGCTTACCCTGAGATTATGCCACTTGAGGTAGGTAGTTGCAGGGAGAGGTTTTTTTTGGTGCTGTGTAGGTAGCCAATTTGCCCCAAACAGTACAACTTAGCATCACTTTTTTATTTTTATTCTCCTCATTGTAGTTTGTGAACGTTCTGGTATCTGCTAATGATGAAGTTTTGGAAGCAACACCTTATAGTAGAGCTAATGATGCTGCTGTAGAGACAGAACATATGGTGGAGAGCTTATCTGAGGAAATGTGCTTCATGGTTTATCCTGAGATTAGGTGTACCTAAAGCACCTTTAGACGCATGACAGAGATTGCCCCAGTTATTAGCTGATCGCAAACATAGTTATATATATTGTGAGAGTAAAAAGCAACAACTTGGCTTTGTACTTTAGGTTGTGATTTCCAAATCTAAAATCAAAATTGCATCTGGCTGATAACTCTGCAACCCTACCAAGCCATAACACGGATGTGTGCGATTGGATGAGGGGCCTCCAATTAATTTTTCAAAGTAATGACAGTTATGGAATGTGAGATTAGAAACCCCAGATGCTGTGATGGTTTACACAAGTCGCTCTGTGCTAGATGAATGGATGTTACTCTCTGTACTTGGGTGGAGATTGTTTAGCAGCAGTCCAGAGCTTGCTGGCAGAAAAGAAAAAGAAAGTGGAGCAGAGAGGAAGGTTGCATACAGAACCAGCATGAGCTGCTTTTTGAACAACGTGACTCCATGCCACTGCTTCCCCTTCACCTGTGTCCCTGTTTGCAGCCCTCTTTCTTTGAACATAGAAGCTAATGAAAGCAATTAAGAATGGCTAGAGCCAGCCTAACACTGCTTTTTATCTGCTCCTTTGTTATATTATGGCGGCCTTCCCCAGCCCATTGGACTACAGTTCTCACAATCCTGCCAGCATGTGAAAAACCCTGCTGGCTGGGAATGATATGAGTTGTAGTTCAGCATCTGGAGGGTATCAAGTTGGTGAAGGCTGTACTAGAGGGTGTTGGAAGAATCTGACCAGTTTGGAAACCTGCTTGTATCCAAGATTCAAGCTCTGACCCAAAATATCTCTTTTGCTCCCTTGATCACTTATACATCAAACATACATATAAGGGGGTTAATTTTCCAACAAAATCAGGCTGGGTCATGAGTTGCTGGGCAGAATGCTGGCACCAGCCGGCATGATCGTGGCACTCTAGGTCTGACCTGAGGGGATGCTGCTGTCCTTCTTCTGCCTGAAAGACTCATTATGTGCGCTTGCTGTCCACAGCTGAAAATGAGAGCAGGGGGGATGAGCGACTCATCAAAATGGAAGAAGCAGAAGAGATCGCCCAGGAACTCTTGCCACGTGACCAAGGTATCTCAGGGAGCAGAACAGATGGCTGGCAATGGCACAGGTATGGCAAGCAATACTCATTCGTTCATTCAAATGTATATTTGGCCTTCTGCGTTATGTTTCCAGAGTGGTTTACAAACAGAAGATACATTATGCAGGTAAAATGCCTGCATCCTGTTAAAAATAATCTAAAAAGCCTGGGAGAAGAAAAGCCTCTTTGCCTGGAGGCACAAGGATAGCTGCGTTTGCACCGGGGGTCCGTCTGGGGACAGAATATCCCAGCAGGGACTGAGGAGGCGGAGGCAGCCTTGCTGTCCAGCAGCCTTGCTGCGGATGGGCCCGTGCGGCATGGCTCTCCTCCCGTGCTGCTCCCAAGCTGTGCCTGCACCCCTTCGAGAAGCACCCTTGCTCCCGGTTCTCCTGGCGTTGGGAAGTGGGCAAAGACTCGTCTGTCCAACGCAGCTTCCACAGGTGTCACCACTTTTCTCGTTTTACAGTTTATTATTTTAAGTCGCTGTGCATTGACTGCATGGCTTTTTGGCGGATAGGATAGTATATAAGTGATGATGATAAAGCTGCAGCTGCTTCTGTTGTGATCAGTCGTAGCGGCTGCAGTGGGGCAGAGCAGTGAGGGGGAAAGCTGTACGGCTGGGGACACTTCAGGCATCTGACTGACTAACTCCAGTGGGCTGGAATTGTATCCTCTGCACCCTCATTCTGTTACTGAAACCACGACGAAGGAAAATGTTTGCATGGAATAAGTCTGGAATGGTTTGAATAGTAGGAATTGACCCGCTTCTTCCCAAGTAACCCTTCTGGTTTGGACTCTGACAGCTTTGTTCAGGCTGATCTCTTTCTTCTTCTGTTTTTGCAAGTGATGTCCTTTGTCACAAATACTCCACTTCTCTTGTGGAACAAAACCTCAATCAGGTTCCTTTGAAGAAAAGAACTAATAATAATAAAAAAAATGAAAATTGCCCAATAGAAAGACCCTGCACAAAGTAGAAACTATGTACAGATCTACAAGGAGGCCTGGAGTTTCGAAAGGAGAAAATCACACGTAATTTAGTGTACTGCCCGACACAGAATGCTGACCTTTCTCATATTGTATTCTTGCCACAACATGAACAGATCCAAAGAATCCCTTGTGTGAGAGGTTGACAGCAGTGCCCAGAGGTCTGTGGGATTGTGGCCTCTGTCCAGCAACAGCCAGCTGGATGCCTGATAAGTGAGGTGGGCAACGTGGTGCCCACAGGCCTGAGTGTGTTCCCTTTCTTGGTACCTGTGGAGGTGGCCCACCCCTCCCATGTGCAGGCAATCGCTGGGACAGCCTCAGAGGGAGGTCACTGGAAGGGCTGGGTTCAAGGGAGTCAGCTGGTTGTGCTCAGCCACAGCCCTGATGTGCGCAGTCTTTGGGGGAGATTATGCATCTCTCGTGACTGGCCGCCTCTCCTGTGACAGCCCTTTTGGGGTACTGCTCAGGACAGTTTCTCAAAATGTCAAGCATACCCATGGGCCCAAATAGGTTCCCTGTCCCTTTTTTATAATTAAGAAATGTGAGAAAGAAATATTGGAAGGAAAGAAAGAAGAAGATGCAGTATTGGGACGTTAGCTTCTGTATTGTTTTTTATAGATGAATTGATAATGACATTGAATAATTGTAGCTGCACTATTGGTAACTGCTCTAAAATTTGAAGAACTTATTCATAAATAGTGGGTCAGACTCTAATGTCAAAATATGACTCATAACTGCTAGTCATGGATGTATAATTAACTTAGTGCTTCTGCTTCCTATCACTCAATAGGTGGAGTTAATTTCATAGATGTACCTTCTCCCGTCTCATCTGGAAGTTCAGAAAATGCATCTTCCACAGTCAGCCCTGCTACTGATAGTGGCTTGGAGCTTTCATCCCAGCTCGGCTCAAAGGAAGTCCTTCCAGACTTGCAAATGGTTGACCCCTTGGGAATCGGTACAGCCATGCCTGTATCTGAGCCTGGAGCCAGAGAGCAGCTAGAGACCCAGGTATGAGCTTATTTCACTGGGTGGCTCAGCAGGTGGAAGCGTGTTGCCTTGGCAAATGATGCCTCAGTGCCTCTCCCCAAACTGAGAACCAAAGGCAACTACTCTTGCTGCAGTCTTTATACTGCCCCTTTCCCCGTCCCATATTTCAGAGACTGTCAGGACATGCAGGTTCTGAGAGTTCTTTGGCCAGTTCCTTCATTGCACTAGGATGCAGCCCTTGAAAAGGCCCCTGAGCGCTTTTCAATCACCCCTTTCCTATCGACCTCAAGCTGCAATCCTTCCTCTTCACCTTACGCTGCACCTTTTCCCGGAAGTCATAAACTCTCTTTTGGGAGGAGACTGAGCCAAAGGAGCAACTGGGCACCTCTGCCTTTTCTTAGTCATCTCTTACCTTTTTTGCCATCCTCATTGAATGGCCAGACCATTTTTCCCTCTGTCTTTTACGATGTGTGTATCTGAAGAAGGCTTTTTGTTACTTTTAGCTTTTCTCACTAATCTCAACTGATTCCCAGCTTTAGCCTTCCTGAATCCTTCCCTGCGATTCTGTGCTACCTGCCTGTACTCTTCCTTTGTAGTTTGGTCTTTTTTCCTTTTCCTATGCAATCCCTTTTTGTTTGTAGGTCATCTCTAAGCTTTCTAAACATCTCTAAAGTAATCTTTGTGAAGCCATATTGCATTTTTATGTTGTCTTCTATCTTTTGTTTTTGTTGTAATTGTTTGTAATTGCACCTTTAGAATATCACTTAAATTTTTTTTCCACCCATCTTGAACTCCTTTTCTCATTAGTATCTCTATATCTGTAAGTCTGGTTGGTTCCAGACTAGGTTAGTCATGCTCTACACCCACTAAAATACAGTAAGTAAATCATGAGTAACTTAGTCGAACCAATCCAGTACCCGTAAGCAGAGAGTGAGGTGTGTTAGATGCTGCTCAAGCAGTGACTCTGGGATCTGAAAGCCAATCTGGCATGATGGTTCGAATGCTGGCTGGGGAGCTGGGAGAACCGGGTTCTTGTTCACATTTGGCCCTGAAGTTTGCTGGGTCATTTTGGGCCAGTCACTGACTCTTAGCCTAACCTACTTCACAAGGTTGTTGTGAAGATAAGATGGAGGAGGGGGTTGTATAAGCATGACAGTTGGGATCAACTATGGATAAGCATGACAGTTGCTATTCATCTGAATGGATTGGCTTGTTACCACAGTGAGCAGTTCATGCAGTGAGGTAGCACACTAAGTCCTTTTCTTATCATGGCTCAAGACTGAATGCCCCCGGGAGGAAAAGACCCCCTCGGCCTCAATGGAGTCCATCCCAGAGGTCCTCGAGGAGTGCACCTCCGCAGCCGAGCACTCCGACTCTGCTTCCGTGCACGACATGGACTACGTCAATCCTCGAGGGGTGCGTTTTACTCAGTGCATCCAAAAGGAAGGTGAGTGCTTTGGAGGAAGGTCAGTGCCCACTGATCCCATCCATCCCACCCCTCCTGGCGTTTCCCATTACTAAGCACAATTTACTTTCTCTTGTGCTGATTGGCAAGAGGCTGGAGTGGAGTGGGAGGGCTGTAAACACGCTGCTTGTTCTCTTCCCCGCCTCCTCCCAAGGAATGGCACTGGTCCCCTATGGGCTGCCTTGTATCCGAGAGCTCTTCCGCTTCCTCATCTCCCTCACTAATCCGCACGACCGCCACAACTCCGAGGTGATGATCCACATGGGGCTGCAGCTGCTCACTGTTGCCCTGGAGCTGGCTTCTGTGGCTAACTGTCCGTCCCTCCTCGGACTGGTGAAAGAAGAACTGTGTCGCTATCTCTTCCAGGTGAGTCTGAATTACCCAGATTTTTGCGAAATTTTAATGCATATTATGCACATCCTTCAATTCACCGCTCTTGCGTTTGAGCTTGGAAGAACGCTTCTTTCTTGGAATTGTTGGTTCTCTGCTGGACAGTGAGTCCTGGGCACTGGAAAGAGCTGGGGCTGGGCTTGCAGAACAGGCAAGAGCGCATAGATACTCCTCAAGAGCCTGTCTCCGAAGGCGTCGTCCCTGTTTGTAAGAGCAGCTTTATGGATGTGGGGAGGAGGCTGTTCGGTTTCAGAAAATAAGGCACAGAGATGTGTGGGGAGGGTAGCAGGAGGCTAGGTGCACGCAGGTAAAGAGGCCAGGTAATGCAGGGGGATCAGATGCAGCGGGGCCCCTTTACCTCCATGTCAGCAGCTGCCCATGGGCAGCAGAGGGTCTCTTGGCACCACATGAAGGATTTGGGACTCCGGACCTGGGGGCCCCCAACACCACCTCCACGCCTGGATGTGGAAAAGGGATATGTTTGCATTCACTGTCTTTCAACATCTATCTCTTTCCCAGTTGCTGAGTGTGGAGCGGCTCAGTTTGTATTCGGCTTCTCTTAGGGTGTGCTTCCTCCTGTTTGAGAGCATGAGAGAACACCTGAAGTTTCAGCTGGAGGTGAGTCCTTTCACGTGCACCAGTCTAGGCACTGAAAGAGAGAATTGAAACAGCTTTCTGGCTCAGTTCACAGATCTGTATGGAATCTTAGGAATTTAGGAGACGATGGGGGAAACGAGCTGATTGTGAGATGCCCAGGCTTCTTTCTCTGTTATCTCAAAGTAGGTGGAGATACAGTTGAAAACCCATTCATTAATTCAGCACCACTAAATCTGGGAAGGCACCGTGCTTGGGAAGACCAGGCCCAATGCACAAATGCTGGCCATTTGGCTCATAGTAGTATCCAGAAGAACACTTTATATCTCCCAACAAAATAGAAAGAGAGCTACTCTTAGTTAATGTATCTCTTCCACTTGCTGAGTCAGGAGTTTCCAGCATGGTACCTGTGCGCACCTGAAACAAATCAAAACCGTGTGTTCATTTGTTTTCCCCATTTTTAATATTTTGCATGAAATTCATTCAACTTTCCAGCAATTATACAGAGGATTCAACAAAATGGAGTAAAGTATCCATTTGAAGTTGGCATTTCTATGCCTCTTATTTGTATATAAAAGAGTCGTAAGGTCTTCTGTCCATTGCATCATAGAAGGCGACTGTTCATGCATCCACTTTTATAATACCAGCTTTAAATTTCAATTGTATTTTTAAGCAAACAAACAAACACTTTTTGAGGAAAAACCTAAGATAGTTTTAAGATAGTTTTAGGATAAACTAGGATATGTTATAGTCCAAAGATTAATAATCAGGAATTAAGGATGAGTTTTCAATTATGTAGCATGAGGCTGTATATTCATGCCATACTTAAATTTGTTGGTAAATAAATTCCATTAATCCATTCACAATCTCATGCTCTTCCAGAGGTTTCCGTAAGATTATTGGGCACTTTTTCTATTTAGAAGTTATTATCTCAGATGCTTGGTTTTACAGTTCTCAAAGCTGTGAATTTGTGTCTGCAGAGATGCTCTTCTTCACAGCAAAAATGTTATAAAATAAACATACAGAGTTGAGAAAAAGACTTTACATCTATAGTTTCTTTGCAAATCTGTGTCGATGGCATCAGCCCTCTTAAGTGCTAAATTCCAAACGTTTCAAAAAGTTCAGTGAATAGGAAGCAGCTGGTTGGGAGTGGAACAGTTCTGTACAAGAAGCCAAGTGTGGGGAGGTGGGAGCAAAGCGGTAAGTCCTTGGCTTTGTGTGTGTGTGTAGGCCAAGGCTTACCGTGCTGTCCTTTCCCTGGGGAAGAAACCTATAATGGCAGCAGGCCGTAAGAGAGACCCACTCTGGGTATATTTTCATGAAGTTTCTGTACCTACACATAAGACAGTTATGCATGCCAACAGTGTAGAAAACCGTGATTTAAATCTAGTCTTACTGTCTAGTGATTTAAATAATGATTTAATGCAATATGATTTAAATCAAATCCACCCTGATAGTACTTCTTGAAGCAGCCTGCCTTTCTGTGGCAGTTTCATTCATATGTAAGTCTGACGTAGAAATGGGTATTTGTGTGGCCGTATTCATATTTTCCAGGTGGTAGAGATCATATCCTTTTATAAGACCCCGTGTGTCCTCTTACCTTCTCTGTGCTGAATCAGTCTCTCTTTTACCAGATGTACATAAAGAAGCTGATGGACATCATCACTGTGGAAAACCCCAAGGTGCCCTATGAGAGGAAGGAGATGGCCCTGGAGGCCATCGTTCAGCTCTGGAGGATTCCCAGCTTTGCCACTGAGCTGTATATCAACTATGACTGTCACTATTACTGTGCTAATCTGCTTGAAGATCTCACCAAGCTGCTTTCCAAGGTCCAGAAAAGGAACTAATTTCCGCTTTTATTTCCAGTAGAGACAGTTCCACGTAGCAGAAAATGAGCAGGGTGTGAGTGGATGCGGATGTTTTGCCAGCCGGGTGTATGTGGCAGGGGATATTCTGACCAGGACTCTGGTGCTTGGGGAAGCTGATTGATCGGCATGTTCTTCCATACCAGGAGTGAAGCAGGTTGAGGGACTGGAAAACGGGAGAGGAAAGGGCTAAAGACAGTGATCCCGGTTAGATCCCCTCTGCCAGCTGCCGCCCAACTGTTAGACAAGGCAAGGTGTGGATGATGGGGCTCCCTCCATCCCATCTGCTTTGGTACGAAGAATCAGTTCTTGCTTCAAGAAGCAGATGCACTTGGGAGCACTGTCGTTGAGGCATGCTTGGCATGACCAGATTGGGAAGCATCTGCTAGGGATCCCCAAAGAAGGATGCCTCCCTGGACGATGTGCCTTCCACGTTCAGTTCACGCCTGCTGTCTAAGCTGACTGTGGATTGCGAGAAACAGAGAAGGTGGGAAGGGCAGCCTGCATCGCCGTGAACGTAGAACAGAGATGAAATCAGTCACAGTAATACTCAAGCCCTTGGGAATCCCTTGCTGACACATTCTGGGGGCCGTGGCTGGCTGGTGTGTGCCTGCTGCATAGTTGGGCATGGCTCCCTGCCCTCGCCGTTTGTGTGCTCTGCACAGGGAGGAAGCGGGCAGTGCCAGTGTTCGGGTGGCACACGGTGTTCTGAGTCAGCAGTGAGCAACGTGAAGTTGCACAAAGCTGGGGTGTTTGCCGGAGGGGGCCCCTCGTGCGGAGCTTCACATGCTGTGTGTAGTTTTCCTGGCTCAGATGAAAATACGTTGTAATGTTTGGCCATGCTTTGATTTTCCCAGAATGCCTTTCCTGTTTCTGGACAGCTGTACACAACACACTTGCTGTCCCTCGAAGCGCTGCTGACAGTGATCAATGGAATTGAAGCGCAATGCCAAGCCAAAGTGCTTAGTGGCAACTACCAGCAGGAGAAAGACGCACTGAAACCAAGCACAGAAATTGCCTGTAACATCAAAGAAGCAAGCCCCAGTGAGAACCTTCTCTTTTATGGCTTCATCCTAATTTTGCAGTAATAATCTGCCCTCCATGACTCCGTTCTGCACAAGATTGCTGCCCTGTTTCATAATGCTCGGCCTCAGTGCTATTGTGCGCAAGCTTCTGAAGCGTCCCAGCTTGCCTTTTATGGGATTTTTGCCACAAGGTTTCAGTCCATCACCTCCATTTTTAATTTTGTACATGAACTTGTTCAATGCTCTTGATTAATTTTTCTTTGCAAATGGTTAAAATTCTTCAAAATAAGGAACATCTGTGGATTCACACACAGAAACTTAAAAACTGCCCTGATTTACTGCAGTTGTCGTCTTTTCTTTGTAGTTGTTGAGGGACCGCTGGCAGAAGCCACTGCTGAAATGCCAGAGACGTGTCCACCCACCAGTGGCGCCTTGATGACCAACCATGTGAAGCAGCAAGACAGTCTGAATTTGGAGGTGGGAAACGATGCAGGTAAATTTGAATTTTGATGGGCATTTGTGTGCAGTAAGCCTGTCAGATGCTCCCTTCCTTTCTTGAGCCCCTCTAAAGCTGTGCTGCAGCGGGAAGTCCCCTAAGTCCCTGCGGCTTTTCAGTGAAGCTCTCTGGGCTGTTGGTGCTTAGCAGGGCTGTCATGGGCAGGGCATCTGGAGGGCTTCATCACGTAGGGTCACCATTAGTCGAAGATGGCTGGACAGCACACGACAGCATCCACATTGCTTGGTATGATCACTTCTAGATGACCTTGAATGAGGGTGGAAAAGAACTCGCAAGAGCTGTGCTGGGTCGAGCGAATGTCCATCTGGTCTGGCGTTCTGTTTGCACGCTGGCCAGCCGCACTCGCCTTGGGAAACCCACACATGGCACATGAGCGCAATGTACCCTCCCATCCATGTTCCCCAGCAACTGCCTGTGATACTTGGAGGTAGCTTATGGCCACCAGACATCTGTGGCAGCCATTGACAGCTGTTGTGCAGCTGTCCCTGAATCATGTCATATGTTATGACAGTGCACGTTAAAATGTATTTTATATGGTCTTCTGTGTGAGATAGCCACTTGCTCTCCCTGCCTCCCTTTTTACTTTGTGGCTCTGTATATTAGATTTCCATCATATAAACCAAAGAAAAAAGATAGGTAGCTAACTTGCATGTGGCCAGGAGTGTTTTGTTTTGTTTTCCTGTGTCCCTCTATTTAATACAATACTTGAAGCAATTCATTGCATGTCTGCAGTTAACTGACAAGGAGCTGTTCCCTTATGAACTTTGTATTGCTTTGGGCAATTTTAGGCCACCTTTAAGGAAAGAACTTTCTCAAGACTGGTTAACTAATACTGTTCTACAGAATTTGGGGTAATAATATAAAGAAGCAGTGCCACTGAACTGGAGTTGGGGAAAGGGAGAGGAATTTGCTTAAGAGAATCTAAGAAGTACTGTTCTAAGGATCCATCATGAAAGCACTCCGCTGTTGTTCTTAGCAGAAAAGACTGTCCCGAGGAAGCCCTCTCGCTTTTCCTGCCTCCTGCCCACCCTGCAGGAATTGGTAATGATCAAAAGTAAAAAGAAGGTATGTTCTATTGTTGTTTCAGAAGCACCTATACTTGTTAGGCAATGCATTGATGTACAAGTGAGACACATATTCAGGTAAAAAGACAGTGATGAAGAGAGTTGGAACATTACATTTGAGTATGCTGGGGTGAATTTTAATTAGAGGTTGGTAACAGATTAAGAGAAGCAGCCAGGCAATGTCTGGAAGTAAGTATGACGGAGCAGGAAGTAGCTCGAAAGCACAGGAGAAGTTGGGAAGTGAACAATGTAATTTTGCCCTTGCAAGAGCAAAGCACAAGAACAGACGTAAAGCAGGATGGTTGGGTTACATCAGTGGGAATAAGAGAGCACAGATACTTGAAAATTGCGTAATCAGTTTATAATTTAAAAAGTACAAAGGTATGTTCTAGAGTGCTCAGAGCTATTTCGCATTAAAAAACCCCCAACAGTTTAATGAAAGCAGCAAATAACATGCACAGCAATAGCTAAAACAGCCAATGCAGCAAACCAGAGGAATCCGCTAGAGATATCTTGATTTTTGCTTGCCTTGAAAGAGGCATATACAAAGATTGTCTTGATTTTTCAACTGATTAGTTGTACACAAATTATATTAATAATGAAATCTCTGGACATGCGTTTTCTACATTCAGACCATACTTCTTGGGATGCCTTTAGACAAACATTTTTTGCTTTAAAACCATAGCGTCAGTATACTTTCTTGAGTAATACCAAGAAGCAAAATCTTTTGGTAATATAATGTAACTTTTGTTCACTTTAGTACCAAATCAGATCATTAGAATTGCTGTACTAATAAAGGTTTCCAATTATATTACCTAATAATAATGAAAACAGATATCTGGAGCCTTAGTCCTCCTGTTTTATTTATGTGTGTTTTTGAGTGAACAGTGTTCACACAGCAAAGTCTCATGTAAGTGTCTCTGAAAGGAAATCTCCAGATGTTTCTGGCTCTGACTGCCAGAATTAGCAAGTTAAATCGGCCCAAGAAGCCCAGAGGCAGCCATTTCATTCTGTAATACAGCGCACTTCCTCTCTGGGTTGCTTCCATGGAGGAGGTTTTGGCCCATTGTTTCATTTCAGCTCTTTGCATAGAATTCTCCGCCTACAACCTAATATGGGTGCAAATGTAAGTACATCTTCAGTAGTAAGTAGTTCCTGGTTTTTAGCTCCTTGCTAATCACATTTGGAAAATGGCATTAAGAGCCCAAAACATCGTTCTCTAGGGTTTCTGGGAGGAAAAACACTAGAATGTTCATGCAGCATTCGCAGATGTTGCAAGCTTTAGCCAAGCTTGTTCCCCTCACAGAGAAAAGCAGGAAATGCTCTTGGGGATTCCTGTCACTCCTGCAGGCAAGGCTTCCTGAAATGCTGTATGTCCTCTGGATGTTTCCTACTGCAGTGCATAGCTCAGCTGATGAGTTAAGAAGGCAGTTGGTGTACTTCTCTGTCCGTTTCGAGATGTGGCTGGTAGCCCTGAGTATTGCAAGCCATTTTTTAAAGTTCCTTAATTTGCCCACCTGTAAGTTATTTGGAGTGGAACTGGCCCTTTTGGGATGTATAGCTCTCTTTAATACTCTGCTGTGAAGTCTGAAACCTCATTAATAAGCTACCAGATATTTTCTTTTATGTCAGCTTGAGGCACTGCCCTGGGAATTCTGGTGTTTGTTGTGCTAGGGTGCAGTCATAACAGCCTTGTCCTGTTCCCAAGCATTTTATTAGCTTTTAAGTGTTTGGCATTCTGTAGTTGCCCAAGTATGAAGGGAGATAAAGGACAATGGTCAGTATTACGTTTCGTGTGGAATGAAGTGAGCAGCAGAGTCAAGAGACCCTCCACAGCCCACACCTAACCCTAACTTCTTTTGTACTTTGGAAAGCGTGGAAGGAAGGGAGTCTGGGGCAGGAAAAACTGAGGAAAAACATATGTTGTTTCAGTAGTTTGGGGTATATAATAAAATGTGGAATTGTTTTTATTCATGTGGCACAGATTTGGAAGTTGAACAGATTTTCCCTTTTCTGGATGTTTCAATTATGTCGTATGCTCTTAGCAGTTACAACAGAAAGGGATATGAGCTGCTCTATGAACAGTTGTTGTCTTGGATAAAACTTGATGATGGGATATTCCTGCATGAAGTTGTTATACTTTGCTTCTTGAATACACATAGCAAATAATTACAACCATGCTGTTACGGCTAAAATGTATGTCTCAGCAATTTGCTAAAAGAAAGAAAGAGGATGCTGCTCTGGACATATGCCTAGGTGCTCTGACATGATCTCCAAAGCTGTTTCCTGCTGGGGGGGGGGGCGTAACTGAGAACTGATATTTATTCTGGCACCTCTAGTAAAGTTCATGTAGACATTTGTGTTAGATCTCTAGCTGCACACGGCCTTTTAGTTAACTCTTTCTTGGGTGACTGAGGATGACATTATCCACTTGTATTATGTATTCCTGAGGTTCTGGCAAATATGAATGATGGTTACAATGCATGCCCTCCGCTCATTCAGTGCTCAGCACTCACTCAGAGGAGCATAAAGCTGAACTTAAAAATGTTCTTGCTATGCGCGCGAGACTGTGCTGTGTCTGCTCTGACGGCTACCTGCATGTGTGTGGAAATGGTCCTGCTGTACTTTGACTGCATGGCCCCCACCGGGGTGTCTGTGTGGGCCATAGGCATGTAAGAAGAGCCCTTCTGGGTCGGATCGAGGGCCTCGCTAGCCCAGCATTCTGTTGACATCTGCCCCTGTGAGAGTCAGGGAGGGAGGGAGGCTGGGGGAAGCAATCACATCGCTTTGTGGTTTTAATTTAATTTTTGCCTTGCTGTGAGAGACTCCAGCTGAAAGCTGCTTGTGTCTTTTTAATGTCAGTGCTTTGCTTTTGGATACCTTCAATCGGGAGGGTGGATATATAGCCAGGGTCAGGGATGGCTATAGAATGGACGGGTTGTCAAAAGAAGTGTTTTTAATGTGGCTTTTTGTTAAATATTATGATGTTCTATTTTATGTCGCATTAATTACCATTGTGCACTGCCCAGAGCATTTCAGCTATCTGGAGGTTTAGAGATAAATTTAATAATTTGCAAGAAGGTGTGGTCCCCTGGCACCTGAAACCAGGTGGTGAGAGGCCACTTCTGAAGAAACTGTCTCTGGTCCAAGAAGATCAGAGTAATTTTAGGCTGGCAGCAAATATCCCCTTCTGGCCAAGGCTGAGTGGGTGGAGGCCAACCAGCTCCAGACCTTCTTGATGCGTTTCAGGCAGGAGACAGGCTGGATCCGGCACAAGAATGCCTTTGGCTGTTTTCTGTGAGGACCTGTACTGGGGAGGGTGGGGCGGGAGAGGCAGCGCCTCAGACCGTGGGGATGGAAAGGCCTGGCCTCTGATGACGGCGAGCTGAGTTGCCGGTCAGTTCAGGCAGGAGATGGCAGTCCTTAAAATAGCTGGGGTTTTAGCCCACTCATAACAGCATAAGAAACCATTTGCATTGTAACATTTTGCATAGATTTGTTCTGTTTTTTGAAAGTATTGACCTATTTTGTGGACTCTAGTCAAAAAGTGGAATGCAAAACTAGACACTTAAATAAATTCATATTTTTGTGCTCTCTTGATGTGTGTATGATAGGAAAGATATGCTATTGGGTTAGCCTCAACTGTGTAGGATGACAGAGTTAATAACCTTCCTTGTGCTTCTTTTATTTTAAAGCTCTTGATTAGTGGTTCAGAGCTGTTCAATCAAAAGCCCAAAAAAGGGATACAGTTTCTTCAGGAGAGAAATCTCTTGGCTACACCCATGGATAATAATGAAGTGGCCAAGTGGCTACGGGAAAATCCTAGACTGGACAAGAAAATGATTGGAGAATTTGTAAGTGATCGGAAAAATGGAGACCTGCTAGACAGTTTTGTGGGGTGAGTAGAAATTCTTCGGGTTATTTGGATTATTGGATATAGCAACGGAAAGGGTTTGTGCATCATGTGCAGTTCCAGCTTCCCTTTACTTGGCACTCATCTGGTTCTGGGCATCGCAGCATCAGAAAGATGCAGACAAGCTGCAGAGGATTCAGAGGAGGGCAACAAGGATGATCCGGGGACTGGAAACAAAGCCTTGTGAGGAGGGATGGAAAGAACTTGGCATGTTTAGCCTGGAGAAGAGAAACCTGAGGCGAGATAGGATATCACTCTGCAAGCGCTTGAAAGACTGTCACAAAGGAGGAGACAGCATCTCTTCTTGATTGTCCCAGAGTGCGGGGCATGAGCCCAAAACATCTGGCTGCCATGAACCTGCTGCAACCTGCTGTTTGGAAGGAGACTTGGCTTTAATAAGCAAAGCTGTAATATGTGCTGGCCCTTAGGCCAAAAGTGCGGGGGAAAGAGTTAGATGGCAGCTGCAGCACCTGGCTGAACCTTGCCAGCAGTGGTGTCGTCTTCCTCTGCTGGGTTGCTTACCTTCCTTACCTTCCTCTTTAAGCAAAAGGTGCAGTACCAAAGTCTGGACAAACCGAGTTCTTTTCCATTTGGAAATAATCTGTATGTGGAGCCATAACCATTTTATGGCGCCTGCCTGCTATCCGTTTCTTTCCCCCATTTGCCACCATTTTACCACTTTTGTTTCAGGACTTTCATTTTCCAAGGCTTACGGCTGGATGAAGCCTTGCGACTCTACCTCGAAGCCTTCCGATTGCCAGGAGAGGCTCCTGTGATCCAGAGACTGTTGGAAGCCTTCACAGAACACTGGCGTGTATGTGTTGAAATGGTTGCTTAGTTTTGTTTTGTTGCTCTCTACCGCAAGTCAAATAACTAGAATGGAAATGAAGCAACACTTTTCTCTAGGTGCAGCTCACTTCAGAGGCATTTGGTTAGTGCATGGGAAATAAGTTGTTGATTTCAGTCAGGCCATACCTGGCTAATTTGTAGTGCTCTGAGGCAGGCCAGTCTGGATGGAAAACATCCAAAAACCAGCAGTGGGGCAGCAAATTAAACTGAAGCAAAAATAAAGGGACAAGGGCCGCTGGAGCAATGTCACTTGATATCTAGGTGTAAGGAATGACAGAAATAGGGGTACTCTATTTGGAGGGACTGTAATGGGTCTGACTTGTATTGTAATTTTACTTTTCAGAAATCAAATGGGTCTCCCTTTGCTAATAGTGATGCTTGTTTTGCCCTGGCATATGCCGTCATTATGCTGAATACAGACCAGCACAACCATAATGTTCGCAAACAGAATGTACCTATGACCCTGGAGGTGAGATCTGGCATCTCTGTAGATCTTGTTACCCTGGACTGCTGGGCTTTTCTGTTGGCTCTGCTTCTCTACCCCGCTGCTCTTGCTCTTTTTTCTCTGCTTTCCCCTTGGCCTGCAGTATCCCAAAACATTGTAGTAAGTTAACCTTCAAAATGATGTTTTGCTGCTGTGTTTTATAATAAAATTGCCAGGAACACAGGGTAAAATGTTGATCCATGTCTTGAGGAGATCATGCAGAATGAAATTTAAAAGAACGTCACAGTGTAATGCCCAGCGTTATCTCATTGCTCCTTACAGGAATTCCGAAAAAATCTGAAAGGAGTAAATGGAGGCAAGGACTTTGAGCAGGACATGCTGGAGGACATGTACCACGCTATCAAGTAAGTGTTTTCGTGCTGGGCTTTGGAAGGAGGAAGGGGACAGGCAGTCCTTCAGCAACCTTTCTCGGACACATTCTGAGACTGTGGGAGAACAGCCGCTCAAAATTTATTAAACTGTTGCTAATGAATACCGGTGGTGATGTGTCGATGCAGACTGTACATAAGCAAACTCGTAATGCTTCCGCAATCATCTCTGGTAGAAATGAGGAGATTGTGATGCCAGAAGAGCAGACGGGCCTGGTGAAGGAAAACTATGTCTGGAGCGTCCTGTTGCATCGTGGGGCCACCGAGGAAGGCCTTTTTCTGCATGTCCCACCTGGAAGCTACGACCACGACCTCTTTGCCATGACCTGGGGTCCCACCGTTGCAGCCCTGTCTTATGTTTTCGATAAGAGCCTTGATGAAACCATAATCCAGAAGGCTATCTCTGGTTTTAGGTAACTTTTCTTTGGGTTGTTCAGCAGTATAGTGTGCCCAGACCATCTTTCCTGTGACCGGAGCTTCTGCTGCTCCTTTCCCTTTCCCCTTTTTTGGTTTAAGGAAGATTTGCTGAAGTTCTGAAGTAAATGAATCCTGTACTGCTTGAGCCCAGTGAAAACATGTTAATACATAAACAAGATTAATAAGCAAGGAAAGTAGATTTCAGTGTAGTTGGGGGTTTTAAAAGTATGTTCTGACAGACAGATGTTCTACTAAATGTCTCCCAGCTGTGTTTCACTGTGCTCAATGCCAAATTTAATTGATGATTAAGGTCCATCATATTTTCCCCTTTTGAAATTAATTGTTGTTATTAAACATGCATGCACCTTTTGTTACTTGAATGTTGTTGACTACATTTGAATAATTACATTTGATGCAAGACACTCGTCACCCCAATTGCATCTCTGGAAAACATCTATATGAAGTAGGATCAGGAGTCAGTGCCATTCATTGCTGTCTTCTTGGGGGCACAATGCCAGAAGGTGGTGCAGGGGGATTTCTATTCATTGCCAAGGCTGGGGGCCCGCATTGTCCTTCGGGATCCATCTTACAGACATGCTATTTAACAAATGCATATAACCTACAAGAGATCTCTAGAGTTTTGGAGTTTGGTGCCCCCAATATGCTGATGACACCCAGCTCTGTTTCTTCTTGCTGCTGAAACCCAAGGAAGCTGTTCTAGTTCTAAGTAATTATCTGATTTTGGTAATGGGCTGAATGCAGACCAATGAACTAAATTTAACCCAGACAAGGCAGGGATGCTCCTGGTTAGTTTAGAGACAGATCACAGCATAGGGAGGTCAGCCTGAGCTGGATGGGCCCACCCTCTACCTGAAGACTCAGGCTTGCTGTCTGCATGTACTCCTTGTCATGGCCCAGGCTTGGCGCTGGACAGGAATGAAGCTGAGCAGTTGCGGCTGGTGTGCCAGCTGTGTGCATTATCGGAGAGGCTGATCTTGCTAGAGTTATGCGTGCTATAGTTACCTCCCACTTGGACTGCGGTCGCGGGCTGTACATGGGATTGCTGCGCAAACTGTGCAGGACATCGGCTGGCCTAGATCACTGCGGCCAGACTGCTGACGGGGCCGGTCACAAGAAGCACGAGACCGCCTGGTTACTGCAGCGTCACTGGCTGCTGGCCTTCTTCTGGCTGGAGTTCAGAATGCTGGTTGTGACCCTGGGGTCAGGCTGCCTGAAAGGCTGCCTCAAGCCATTGAAGCCTGCCCGGGTCTTGGGGTCTTCCGGAGAGGCCCGGCCCTTTTTTCAGCCCCTCCAGTGGTACATGAGGTGGCAACAGGAGGAGGGGCCTCCTCCCAGGCTGCGGAGCTCTGGGCACGCAAGGCTGTCCCTCTGCTGGCAGGCAGAGAGCTCCTCATTCCAGCAAGTCTTGGGCATTTCAGGTGGTCTCTTGGGTTGGATGCTGATTTTATTCTGTTTTTGCTGTCTTTTTAAATTGTGCTTTAGTATGTTGTTTTAGTATTGTTTTAATCATGTTTTATTTCTGCAGAAAATGCGTCGTGTAGTTGTACTTACATTGTTATGGCTTGTCTTTCAGAAAATGTGCCATGATTTCTGCCCATTACGGCCTCAGTGATGTGTTTGACAATCTCATCATTTCTCTCTGCAAATTTACAGCCCTAAGCAGTGAGGTGAGTCTTCAAATGGAGTGAGACAGTGTGAAACTGATTTCAGTCTAACTGTTCTCCTCTAAGTCTAACCATGGTTAGCGCTAATGGGACGTTCATGGCTTCACTATTGGCGCTTAAAAGGGAGTTGGGGGAGAGAACCGGAACTGAAAGATGGTGCAAAGAGGGAGGTGGTGGGCAGATGATGAAGGAGAGCATGGTTCTGTCGAACATTCCCCCTTCTTTGGACCATGGTTAGGAAACTGAGGGTGTTGCATCTACACCAGGCTGCAAAGGAATGGTTTAGGCTTCAGTGAACATCACTTGGATTTCTCAACACTTGAGCACCTTTTCAGTGTCTGAGCAGATGCCAGTGAGAGTTTTTGTATCTGAAATTACAGTAAATACGTGTTTGCAATATTTTATCTGCATGCCAGATGCAACTTCTGCCAAAGTGGGAAAGTGGAAAGCGAGCTAGAAGTGAAGCTAGTTTTGTTGTGGGGAACTGCATCAGCCGCATCCCCTTGCTGGTTGGATCACTTAGCAAGCCTCACCTTGATGTTTCTGCAGGAGTCAGGCTCGATGCCATGATCCACCAGGGACTGTAAGAGAGTCCTTTACTGGTCTGGCTGCTCTTCTTGCTTGGGGAGAGCTTGATGATGATGCCAGTCTGAAATCCTGCCAGACATCTCTTGAGGATCTTGAGTCCTGGCACTGCCATAGCTTTTTCTTGCATGTGTCCACACCAGATCCTCAGTCGTCGAGTGAAGAAACATACATGTATGGACCAGCTCTAGCTTGATACCAGTCATGTTTTAATGCAGTCAGAAATTACGTAGTGTGGCACTTTTAAGTTCCCTACTTACATGTCTATACTGATTTTGCATTATATCCTACTTGAAGAGGTTTACAATAAAAGCAGACAGCAAAGGAACAATCCTGCAAAGATCAGCAGCTGAATTGTGCTGAAAATCAGCAGTTGGATCAGAAAAGACTGAGATACAAATTATTGATAATGATGACGCCATAGTGTGCACACTGCTTTGTGGCTGCCTTCCCCGTCCTAGCGCCCTCTACACAGTTTAGACTTCGCTTCTCACTGGGCCAAGGAGCCATAGGTTACAACATCTGAAGGCCATGAAGCTGGAGAAGAGTGGCTTACAGAGTGAAAGACTGGCTAGACAGGAGGAGTCAATGGGGCAAGGGCGACAAGGGCGTAACATGTAGAGCAAAGGAGAGGAACGAGTCCAGGATCACCCAGGGCTTTGAATATGGCAAGGTTGTCATTGGATGCGGAAAATAAGACTGTCGCAGCGTGGCTCCTGAGGCGGCAAACTCTCCCTAAGACACCGCAGGCCCAGCCTCCTTGGAGCTGTACTGGCAGAAACAGTCTGTGAAAGTCCTGTGGGGACTTGCATCTTCGCTCTTTTGAAATGGAAGCTTCCAGGTGGTTTTGAAGGTGGCCACACAGGCAGTGCGTGAAATTGGCAGCGCATGGCAAAGACCCTTTGGGATGGGGTGTGGCAACCTGCCGACGACCAGCCCCAGACCTTCCCCTGAGCTGCCCTTCTTTTCCAAGCAGGCTCATGTCTCCCTTTTATGTGGACTCACTCACCAACGGCTGTTTTCCTTCCTTTTTCAGTCTGTTGAGAATCTTCCCACTGTTTTTGGGAGCAATCCCAAAGCCCATATTGCAGCAAAGACGGTGTTCCATTTGGCTCATCGGCACGGTGACATTTTGCGAGAGGGGTGGAAGAACATCATGGAGGCCATGCTGCAGCTTTTCAGAGCAGAACTGTTGCCGAAAACCATGGTGGAGGTAAAGGGGTGGCAGGCTGCGCTCGGCCGCTTGGGATGCGTGCGTGGGATTTGCTGTCCAAGGCGTTGAGCTTGGACCACAGGCTGTGCTGCTTGCAAAGGCAGCAGGCTCTGCAGACTGGGTGTAGGAGGCATGGCGACGCACAGGTTCTGCCTCTTCCTGTAGCATCAGTTCCAGAAGACAGCTTTGAGCGCTTGTGCCACAAGATTCCATCTTATCCCATGCTTTTTAACATGCGTGCAACGCTCCTGAGGCAGGGATGTGCAGACCGTGCCGGAGCCTCGCTCTCTTGCACTCACTGGGCTGCCTGCCCACTTTCTGCCCCGCCAGGAGGTGAGCCGAGCCGAGAATGCTCGGGGACACGAGCGGCTCTTTGCACCAAGTGGGCAGAGGCCACAAGTCACACGTGCCAAAGCAGAGCTCGGCTGAAGGATGCAACTCTTGATCGAAGAGGGCGGATTTGCCTTCCCTGGCCTTTCCTCATGCTATTGGGCCCATTGGTTGACCTGGCTTAGATGTCGGTCTTTTCCACCGAGATGAGGCTCCTCTCTCTGGACAGTTCTGGGATCTTCATTGTTGGATCCTCTTCCCAAATGGATTGCATTGGCTCTGCACACTAAAATCACGTGCCTCCTCCAGCTGTCACTGCTGGGGAGCTGGGGCACATGTCTTCACAGCAATTGTGGTTTTACTTAGGGGAAGAAACGGCTTGCACAGCGGCTGTGTTCAGGCAGGCTGATTCCTGCTTTGTGTCAGCTTGTCTATCCTGGCAGTGACTCCCATGCTGTGTTCTGCTCTGGGTGCTCAGCGCAGGTTGCCAACAAAGACTTTATGGCAGTATTTTCAACGGAAAGACTTCTCGGATACTAGGCTTGGTTCCGCTGCTTTTGCAGCTTCCGAGCCACCTGTGTCATTGGAAGAATTGGCTGAGGCTGAAGATCTATGTCCGCCTGCAGTTCATGTGTATAAATATCTGTTCTCATTGAAGAAGTATAATATTGTAATAAAACATGCAGAATCATTAATATATTCATCTGGTTTGCAGGTTGAAGATTTTGTTGATCCCAATGGCAAAATCTCTCTTCAGCGTGAGGAGACACCTTCCAACCGGTGAGCAGCCTAGAGAGCAAAGGTTCCTTTTGTTGCTGGTTGCAAGCCTATAGGATGACCAAGAGTCCACATGGGTCCTGCAAGCAAGTGTCACTGCTTGGAGCGCTCCTGCTTAGGGTGCCAGCCAGCCACACCCTTCTGCAGGGTCTTCCATTCCGGTTTTCCGGTTTTGGCCATGCTCAGCATTCTGCTCCCCCTGTGCTTGCTCAGCCCATAGTGGGCTGTTTGGGGATCCCTCCTCCTTCCATGGGGATGGTTACAGTGCCGCAGGCCTTGAGATTCCCCAGACATCCCTCTTGCGAGCAAATGTTGCTGTTCCATCTGGATAAGGAGTGGCACTGCAGGAGTGGCTTTCGCTTAGCATATATAATACTGCCTTATAGATGCTGTATAATGCATTTCATTGCATTAGATATATAGTATAATATAATGGTATCATTATCTAATAATATTCTCATCCCTCGTACAACAGAGTGTGTCTTCTCTTGTAGTGGTGAGTCGACAGTGCTAAGCTTTGTTAGTTGGCTGACACTCAGCGGCACTGAGCAGTCAGGAATGCGAGGGCCCTCCACAGAGAGCCAGGAGGCGAAGCGCATGGCCCTGGAGGTCATCAAGGTAATTCGGGGCCCGCACGGGAGGAGGAGCACATGCCAGGCAGAGGGGAGCGGGCTTCGTGCATTTCCCAGAAGTGCTCCACCACTCTTCTTAGAGAGCGGGATGGAAAACGGGAGTGTCATGTGCCTTTCTTGTGGCCACAAAATAGTCATATCATGCGAGCTCATCTTAGATGCCCGCGTCTTTCCAAAGCAGTGTTTATTCTTGTTATTTGTGGACCGTTTCAGGTGGTGGGCGCTGTTGGTGCCGGCACGGCCTCTGTTGCGGCGAGGGAGGGCTTCGCGTCGCTTGGTGTGGCTGCGCTGGAGCTTGCAAAGTTTTTCCAGGGGGTCTGCTCTTAGCAGGGCCCTGAGTAGCTGGGGGTTTGTTGGCAAGCCAGATGGGAATCAGTCGGCAACATGAAAAGCTCCGAGTGGCGTCTGGAGAGGCGGGGCAGGGTCGCCTGCAGGTGGCGCCAGCGAGGAGCCAGTCGAGGCAGGGCCTTTGCTGGCCCAGCCTGCCTGCTGCTGAACCTTGGCCTCTCAAAGAGGCCGCATGTGCTTAACAGCCCCGGACTGCAGCTGATGAGGGCATGGCTGATGCCCTCACGGATGAGTCTGGAGACGGCAGGGCAGGCTCTGAAGAAGCAGAAGCCTCGTGGTGCCTTTCCTGGGCTGCACCTGCTCCGTGGGCCTCAGCAGCCTTTTCTGTAGTCAGCACGGGGTTGGCATCCCATGAGAATCGGTTCTGGACTGTGTTCTGGGGAGTGCGCACTGTGTTGCACCTGGACAGTGATGCAGGGGTTTGGCAGAAGAGAACAGCCTGCTCAAGGAGAACTCCGGGCTGAACTGCTTGTCCATGCCAAACCTGATCGCTGAACTGGTGTTTTGGCAAAAGTCTGGGGCAGCAAGACGGCAGTGCTGGCAGTGGGAGGCGGGGTTCCTTCCTCCACTGATGGGTGCAGTGCCCTTGGCTGTTGCGGAAACACTCCTCATGCCTCGCAGCATCATTTGGAGAGACTTCTACACACGCGCCCCTCGTGGCCAGGAGCTGCTGCTAGGCGTACCGGGCTCAGGTGCCCCTTGCCCAGCAGCCTCCGGCCCAGGTGCGTCACTGTTCGGATTCATGGCAGACAGGAAAACCCAGACATGGTGGTTTTGCAGGGAAATCCTGCTGTAACAGCAGTTTTGACAGTTCCCCATGAGATCAACTCACTGTGGGGTTCGGCCCTGGGAAATGATGCAAGGGCGGTGGGGAGAGCCAGGCACTGGGGTTTGTCCCCCCGCCTTCAGAATGGTCTGTATGAGAGTCCCTAGGCGGCCTGCAAGCCCCGGAGCATTCCCAGAAATCACCCTTACATATAGCGGGTGTAGTGGTATTCATCGGCAGAGAATGCATTCCGGACCTGTTCAAGAGCGTTTGCCGGTGTGTGCGTCTTGTTAGTCCCGGGAGGGCACCCCGATGTGATCAGCCCTTGCTTTTCTTCTACTTCATGTCCTTTTTCAGCTCTGTGACCCGGAGAAGCTGATCACTGAAAGCAAGTTTCTGCAACTAGAATCCCTCCAGGAACTAATGAAGGTGAGGAATAAATCAGCCGCTTGGGCAGGTTGCAGCTGGGTGGACTCTGCGGCCATGACGTGCTCAGCGAGCAGGGGTTCCTCACACGCGGGCCCTAGGGAGCATCGCATGCTGCGCTGGCTTGCCTCTTCTTCAGCACACTTGGCCAGCCCTGTTCCGGGGCTGGGGACTTCCATGTGAAGACAAGGAGCCGTCGGCTTAGACAGGTGCAGCGTTCTGAGAGCGAGGTTGCTGTCGTTCTTCCTTCTCCAGTTTGTTTACAATGTAACTTCAAGCAGTAGGATCTCACTTCACTGCTTGACAGGCAAATTAGAAGCAGTAAGTGCTTTCTGAGAGCTCCACTTTCTCCTGCAGTCTCCCAGTCGCCTGACTCAACAGCCGTGAGCTGTTCAGCAGGTGCTTTTATAGCAAACAACATATTTTTCCCTGGGCTTTGAGTTATCAGGTTGAGCCCTCAGCTTTGAATGAAGAGCAAGAGCTCTGTGCTGCTTTTGACTGTCCTCCTGTACCAGTTTCCCAGGGTCACTTGGACTCCCTTCAGAACCATTTCATGCTTTCTCTGAGATATCCAACTACCATGCATGTTTTTGTGTCAGTCACCCAAACTGGAAATTCCCACAGAAAGATGAAAGCATTTCTAAAAAGGCATTCTAAGCAGTGTTTCCTGCAAGAGACGAGAGGAAGATGATTGAGGGAGGGGGCAGGAAGACCACCCCGTGGCTAGAAACAAAATCCAGAATCTCTTCCAAATACGCTGCAGGGGCTGCAGTCCCAGGGGTGCCTCCTCCCACAAGAACCTCTTCCAGAATTGGCCTTTATACCTTTCCCACGTCTCTCTTATTGGTTTATTTATTTAATTTCTCTCCTGCCCAACGGCCGACGGGCTCTCTGCTGATCTGAAATGAAGTTCTTCTCAGAATGGTGGTGGAAGAAGTGGGCAGGTCCTTCAGTGGCTCCATCCTGGCCATGGAGCCCTTGGCCCAACTCTCTAGCGAGCTGGATGAGGTTGTTCATTAAAGGCTTATCGCTGCCTGCCAGGCAGGAGGGCTGCCCTGTCCGGCACTATGGCAATTCTGCTATTGAAAGTTTCGCCTTGAGTGTCTCCTGCTTTAGGAGCTCTTAGCTGGGTGACTGCAAAGGGGGTGCGCACAGTACTTTTTTCCGTTTTTGAGACAAAACTGCCCTGCGGAGCTGTGGAGCCAAATCCAGTTCTTTAGAATGGCATCATGAGTTGCACTAAGACAGGCCATTCCTGCAGTTCTGACTTCCAGACGCTCGAGCTTCCATGGCTTTGAGCGCGCTCTTCATGGCCATCGCCCATGACTGCACTGGGCAATGGGCGCGCACAGGCGCATCGCGAGGAGCTTCTGCTTTGTATCGGCTCATTCTGCTGAATGATTACCCGTTCAGGCTGCTGTGGGGGTAGCTGTCTTGTCGTTTGTGCCGAGACGGCACCCGGGCTGGGCTATTGCAGTGTGCTCTCCGTAGGGCAGTCTTTAACCACGGTTCATCTACTTCAGCTGATGGTGAATATGGCCGGCTTGAGTATTGGCAGGAAGGGGGTGTTGGCTCACGTCACACCAGCGCTGTTCCAGTCACGTTGGTTGGCAGAGCATTTTGCTTTACCGTTTAAAGGCTCAGTTTCCTCCAAGCCAGTTTGCCCACACCCTGACTTCGTCAGTGGCGGCCATTCCCATTTGCCTTTCCTCAAAGGCAGTTCGATTGGTGACGACAAGGAAGAGGGCCGTTTCAGTCGCGGCCCCGCACCTCTGCGGGAACCTCCTAGCAGGCTCTTCAGTGCCTGAGAAAAGCTCCGAAAGCCTGGCTGTTTCTGCTGGCCTTCTGACAGCATGTTGAGCCACTGAGGGTATCCATGGCCACGGTTTCTGCCGAACTGCGTGGCTTCCCCTTGAGAGAGGTCTGTCCTGAAAGTCCGCGTGACCACATGAAAGTCTCTCTGCTGGCCCCAGGCCCTCATCTCTGTGACCCCTGACGAGGAGACCTATGACGAGGAGGACTGTGCCTTCTGCCTGGAGATGCTGCTGCGGATCGTGCTGGAGAACAGGTGAGCCCCGCAGAGGCCCGTCGCAGGCCTTCCCACTCATGCAGCGTGGATTCAGAATTGGCGCGTGTCTGTGCCCCGGCGTTCCCGTTTCCTCGTCTGGTTGCACTCATTTGAGGGCTGACCTGAAGGGCAGGAACTGCGAACCCCACTGCTTGCTGCGACTCCCAGGGTCCCCGTATGCATCCCCGCCCCATTGCCACTTGTGTGCACAGGGACGCGGGGCCTGTCGCTTCCCTCTGCTCGCTGTGTCTCGTGTCCGAGGGAAAGACTGCTTGTCGCTGCTGTTTTACCACAGTGCCCCTTTCCCCTTCTCCTTTCGCTAGGGACCGCGTGGCCTTCGTGTGGCAGGCCGTGCGAGTCCACCTGTACCACCTGTGCGTCGATGCCGTGGAGTACGGCTTCCTTGTGGAGAGGGCCGTCGTGGGGCTGCTGCGCCTGGCCATCCGCCTCTTGCGCAGGGAGGAGATCAGCGCACAGGTACAGGGGGCGGGGCCCCGGGGCACACCTGCCTCTTCCGCATGCCAGCCTCCCCTTCCACTTGGGGACGAGCGCACCGCAGCTGTGCATTCCTTTTGCAGCCGGAACGGCACCATCCATGCACAAGGTTGGGGTGCCGAAAAACATTTTGGAGCCAGGAATCCTCCAGCGGTGAGGGAAGCAGTCCCTGGAAGGCGGGGTGTGCCCCGTGGCAGTGGGATGCTAAGCGACTGTTGGGGCGTGTGCGGAAGACGGGGGGAATGAGTGTGGCGCCAGGGTGCCCGAGCCAGGCATTGCGTCGTAGCCACGTCAGGAAGCCCCCTCCCGCCTCCCGCCTCCCGCAGTGTTCCCAGCAGGCCTGTGGAAGGCGTGCGGCAGAGAGCAAGGATGGGCCGGGCCGGGGCCGGGGGGCTCCCTGGCCTGAGCGCTGCCTCTCCCGGACAGGTGCTGCTGTCCCTGCGCATCCTGCTGATGATGAAGCCCAGCATGCTGAACAGAGCCAGTCGCCAGATTGCGTGCGGCCTTCACGAGCTCCTCAAAACCAACGCCGCCAACATCCACTCCGGGGAGGACTGGTACACGCTCTTCACCCTCCTGGAATGCATTGGGTCAGGGGTGAAGCCACCCCCAGCGCTGCAGGCCACGGCCAGAGCGGAGAACGACACCGGTAAGGCTGGCTGCGGCTCCTGCTGGACACCCTGCTGCCCGTCCCTCAGGTCGCGGCTGCCGGTCTGACTTGGCGCTTACCAAGCACTACTGCAAGCGCCGGGCTCCACTGCAAGTATCATCAGTTAGGCAGCCCGTGTGAAGAGCCGGGAGTTTTGTCCCGTCTGATTTCTGGCCTTATCTGCCCCCACTCCTTGCAATAAGGTGCCATGTGCAGGAGCTCGCTGTGGAGAGGGAAAGCAGCCCCCTTTGTGCATTGGGGCTTGTTGTGTGCAGAGTCGCTCTCTGCGCAGAGTGCCCTGCCGGGGGTGGGGGGCTGTGCCGTCGAGCTCTGACATCAGCCCCTTGCTGTGGCCTTGGCACCCTGCTTCCTTCCTGCGGGAACCTTCAGGTGATGCTTTCGTGGGCCTGTTGAGACATGTTGGAAGATGTATCTCCCTCGTTGTGTTCCTCTAAAATATGCAGTGGCTCCTTCTTGCAGGGCTGAGTGCCTGCCAGCTTCATGCAAATGCTGGGGTTTAGTGACAGGAAAATGTAAGGGTGGCGAATGCCCAAGAGGTGATCCTATCCCAGTCCCGGTCCCAACCCCTGTGCAGAAGGTAGAGCCCAGGCGGAGCCTGGCATTAGTTTTCATGGCCCACACCAAGCAGATGCGCAGATGGCCCTGAATAGCTCAAGAAGGAATCACAGGCGTCAAGGCAAGAAAGCGCACAAAAAGAAAATTTCATAAAGCAAATGCTATCACTGCTTGTGCTTCCTGCTATTGCTAGAAAGCTTTCTCAGTGTAAATCTAGTCTAGTTTGCCCGCCTGTCCGGAGGCTCTGACTGTCCTTAGTATGATCTAATGAAATAGGTCAGTTTTGACACTGCAACTTTCTCACTGACTTAATTCAGTCAGTGGTGCAATTGGAAGGCTGCTTTCTTTCCCCAGGGTTGTGCTACAAGCAGTTTGGTTTGTATTTGAAGGTTACAAGTTATCTTTATCTTTGTATTTTCTTTCACCACAATCTCTCTGACCGACCCATTAAGACTGCCTTAGATTCCAGTGACCCGAACGCAACTCATGGATCCGTGGAAAATATTTGTGTACTGTTTATGCTGTGTTCAGTGTTACGTGAAGCTGGATTAGCCTGCACCTTAGCTTACAAAAGCCTACAAGCCAAGTTTTTTCCTGTTGCTGGGGATATTTGGAAATGGCATTTGTGCTGAGGAACAGGCGGCATGAGTAGGGGTGGGATAACCCCTATTGGAATCTACCCCTCCAAGCGTTCCAGGGCTTCTTGCTGCCCTTGACCCAGTCTCCCAAAGCGTGCTGAGCCCAGAGGGAGTCCATGGATGCTCACGGACTCCAGGCTGTGCAGTTGGCACCCTTTGTCCACATTGGGTGCGGCTGCACTTGGCGTAGGGGGGCGCACGGGGCGCCTTCCCTGGCGCCCCCTCACGACTAACCTCCGCTGGCATTGGGTGCATCTGCCAAGCAGCAGCCGCACCTGCATGCGCGGTGCCTGGAGCTCAGTTCCTGGCTGGTGCCTGGTGCACGCTGGCCCTGCTCGCCAGGAGTTTGGGCTCGGGGCAGACCGAAGTCCGGGGAGGAAAGCTGGGGGCGCCCAGCGCATGGCTGTCTCCAGTGGATTCATCACACTTCCCCACGCGCGGGTGCCCAGTTTTGCAATAGCACAGTGCCGTCAGCTTTGCAAGACGACGTAGTGGAGAGTTCTTCTTTCGGCTTTGGTTGGCCTCCATATTTTTAGTGCAATGAACCTTTATTCTGCTTCTTATGCAGCTTTCACTAGCACTGTTACCAGCTGGCCTGAAAATAAGCGTGCCCTTGTTTCTCTGTCTCACTCCATGATGTTTGCTTATTCAAGGGGCTCAGTCAGACAGCGAGATCTATCACCCAAATGAAGCAGGCCTCGACCGTGGCTACACTTCTGATTCAGAGGTGTACGCAGATCACAGCAAGCAGGGCAGACTGCACCGTTCTGTCACTGATGTGGACGTGGTCAACAGTGGCTGGCTTGTGGTAAGTTACACTTCTGTTACGTATGTCTGGGTTCAAATCATAGGCTGTAGAGAAATGGTTTTCCCTTTCACAATCTGGTGAAGAAGCAGCAGGGACAATTTTTCCCTTCCAGTTCACAGCTAGCTCAACTGTTGCACATCCCGGAAGTTCTTGGAAGCTGCCTCAGCCAGGAGCAGTCGTTCTTAGCCCTCCAGATTTGGTAAAGGCAACCCCAGGCACGTGCGAATGGCATGGACCAAGACTGGAGTCCTCCTCTGAGTGCTTCCTCCCAGAACGCTTTGGAGGGTGGCAGCAGAAGGGGGGGCCTTCGTGATGGTGGCCCAGCCGCGCAATGCGCTCCCAGCGCCTGCCTGGCCCAGCCAAGGCTTCCCGCTGCTCCCAGGCCTTCAGCAGCATCCGGTGGGCTTTTCAGGCCAGCTGCCTTTGACGGCGATGGGCAAACGCCGCTGGCCTGCTTGGGCCCGGCTTGGGAGTGAGCCAGGCTCCCCCTGCCTCTGAGAGCAGCTCACGTCCACATCCACACGCCCACTCTCTCCCCAGCCTCCTCCTCTCCCCACTTGCCAGGCTGGTGTGACAAAAACAGGATGGGGTGGCGCTCCCTCCGGCGTGTCCCTGGATGCGGGATGCGGGATGCGGCCACACCGTCAGCCAGACACCTGGTCCAGCTCGCTCGTTACTGTGTGTGCTAACGGGCAGGGGCTCTCTGGGAATTCAGGCAGGAGACCTCTGGGGTCCTGCCTGGGGATGTCGGGGGTTCAACTTGTGACCTTTTGTATCCACCCCTCCCCAGGGAGGTGGAGTGGGAGGCCTTCCCCATTCCAGAGGCTCCCAGTGAGGTAGCCAATGAGGGGAATCCGAGGCGGGACTATTGCTAATGGAATATTCCTCCATGGTGTTCTGAGCTGCCTGTCTTTATTGATTTTTAACAGTGAAGTATTTTATGCTGCCCCATCGCCAAGGTTCCCCACGGTCCAAGTTTGTACAAAAATAACTGAAAACATATTCTGTATATCAGCCATAGAAATGGTTAAAATACACCGAAGTTGATGCAAATGAGTGAGATCAGAGCAGACAGGATGCAAGACTTGAGAACCTGTGAACCTGAACATCCAGTAAAAGCCCCAAAAGCCACGCAGACCTTTTCCCTGACTTGGGAAGCCTGAGAGAATAAAGCATTTGCTGGCAGTGGAAAGAGTCCAGAGTCCACGTCAAATGGACTCCCCCGAGGTCCCGCGGCTGGAGTGCCGGCCCTCAGAAAGCCCCTCCCCGTTGGCCACTCCTGCCAGGCCTCACCTGGCTGGGGCTCTGGGAAGGGCCTCCCTGGGCAGGAGCAGGAAGAGGGGGTCCTTCAGGGAACCAGCCCCGAGCCATTTAGCCCTTTAGGAGTTGAAGCAGGACTTTGACTTGGGCCCGGAAACAAAGAGGCGGTGAGTGTAGCTGATACAGGACCGACTCGCATTGTTCAGATTGCCAAGTCCCGGTTAAAGGGAGGGGCTCCTTGCGGCCTGCTGTGTGGCATGAAAGCGTCAGCTGCCAGAGGCAGTGACTCCCTCCCTTCCCTTTCCTGGCTTGCTGCTGACAGCACAGCACAGCACAGCACTGGTCGAGGAAGTGGATTGGGAAAGCAGCACCCAGGAGGGCTGGCAGATTCCAGGGAGGCAAGAAGCGGGATAGGAGGAAAACCCACGATGGGTTTGCCCAGGCTGCAAACTCCTGAGGCTCATATTTCCAAATCCATACAGCAACTGTGCCTGCACAGTTGTGCCTGAAGACCGCAAAACCAGGCGTGCCTTCCCTGATGTTCTGCTGAGTGAGCCAATTAAAGTGGCCCAAAGCCGGCAGTGTCCGCAGGGATCTGGCTATTTATGAAAAGTGTCGCACGAGGGAAGGGGGGCCAGAGCCCTGGGACAGGCTGCAGCATGGTGGCCGGAAGTCGCTGTGGGAAGAAGAGCCCCTTCTCTTGGCCGTAGCCAGACTGGAAGGACGCGTGTCAGACAGAACCGTTTTCTCTTTCACAGGTTGGGAAGGATGACATCGACAACCCAAAGAACATGGCCGGACTCTCCAAGCTGAGCAGTTCTCCCCTGGTGAATCAGTACAGTCTGACCGTGGGGATGGACCTGGGACCACACAACACCAAGTCCCTGATGAAGTGCGTGGAGTCCTTGTCCTTCATCGTGCGCGACGCTGCCCACGTCACCCCTGAGAACTTCGAGCTCTGCGTTAAAGCTATCCGCATCTTTGTGGAGGCCAGTCTAAATGGAGGTGAGGCCGCTCGCCTGTGGAGCGCCAGATGTATTCATAGAAAATGCTTCTCGGCCCAGTCCCAGGCAGAAGCCTCCCAAGGCGACATGCCCCAGCAAAACCCAGAACGAAGCCTGGGTGGCCTTCGAAAGCAGTGACAGCAACAGGCTTGGGGGTGATGTGTGTGAGAGCAGCACGTAGCAAAGCTGCACTTTGGGGGCGACTCTGCCGAGGCAGATCGACCAAAGCAGCCTTTTAGACGAACGGTGCTGCACACGCGATCCCCGTGAACTTCCAGTCTTCCCGTGAGCAGCTTGGATGGGATGTGTGTTCCGAGATGGGGAACAGGTGAACATAAGTATTCCCCAAGCCGGAACTATCCCTGTGGGCTGTGGATTGACTATTTTAGGCAAATTCTGGGGGGCCCTGGTCCCGTGGCTCCCATATTAACCCGCGCGTGCATGGTCCACTGGTTTTGCCAGGAGCAGAAGTCGTTTTTGTGCTTTCCTCAGTGGCCCCACCACAAGTGCCTGAGCTGTCCTCCCTTTCCGCAGCGCCTGTGAAGTTGGCTGCTCTTCGAACGGAAAGTTTCACAAATGAGAATCAGGCAGCAGATGTGCTCAGATCAACCACAAACTGAAGGCGTTTTATGTGTCCGCAGGGTGCAAGTCCCAGGAGAAGCGGGGAAAGAGCCATAAGTATGACCCTAAATTGGCCCGTTTCAAAAAGAAAGCCAAGGAGAGCTCTCTGAGGCACTTGCGGGTCTCTGCCCAGCACCAGCCCCAGCACCGCTCCCCGAGTGAGGACGAAGACGAGGACGAGAGTGTTCCTGCCAGCTACCACACGGTGTCTTTACAGGTTAGTCAAGACGTAAGTATGGCCGGCATTTCATTGTCTTTCCCTGCTTTGCTTTGCTTTGCTTTGCTGTGGTAGTTCTGGGACAAACGAGATGTACTTTGCCGGCCCTTGTGCTGGTTTTCTAAAATACAGAGCTGGCATGGATGGGTCAGATCCGGCCCATGCGGGTGCCCCGGCAGCAGGCGCAAAGGCCCAGTTCAGACTGGGACCACAGCAAGGGCCCTCCCCACATGCCCTGATCTCGTTCAAGCGCCAGGGCTCGACACTCCATTCAGAAACACGTCGCCATCTGAGGGGCCTCCCTCATTCCATGCAGTGCTGTGGAGCGCCTTGCTGGGAAGGGGCCGTCACTGGACTAAGAATGGGCCTGCGCAGGCAGCTCTGCTGTCTTGGGTACACGCAGACCTGTGGGCAGCCAGAACCGGTCTTTACTGGTAGAGCCCTTGAGACAGAAGGACGCGTGTGCGGACTCTTCCGTGGGTCAGACAAACGTGCAAAAGGCACCCAGTCTCTTCCAAAGGCCTCCCTGAGTTCGAGAGCAGGACTGGGTCTGTCCACGCTTGGGGCGACTGCGGCGTAAGTAAGAACGGTGCTGTCATGCAAAGGGAGCTGTCTGGGGAGGGCCAAAATAACTAATGAAAATTGGCTAGGCGCCTGTTCTTCTTGTGTAGAGGGTCAGGCCGGTGGGTAATTTGAGAGTCATGTGGCAGGAGGAATTCTGGATCTATCAGATTAGAGCGGGATGAGGCAAGAGGTTGGTCTGTGTAAGTGGCCCATTTCTGGCAAGTCATCTCAGGTTTGCTGGATACTTGTGAAGACGACTGGGTAAGGTGGACGTGGATCCAGCCCAGCCAGGTGCTTCTTTTGCTCTTCAGCAGCAGCAATTAGGATCTCTTGAAAAAGGCCACTTCCGTCTCGCCTGTTGAAAAGAGCCTGAGGTTGCACTCTTGCTTTACGCATTTGAAACCCACTGGGGAGCAGTGGGGATCCTAGGAAAAGCCTTCCTTGCCCTGGGTTGGAGTGATGCTCGTGCTTTGGGGTGGATGAGGACAGGGTTTGTGGTGGATGGGATAGATCTGTGGAAAGGTGCTAGGGAGTTAGTGGAGGTGGGACATTTCTTCCTGTGGAGACTGAGGAGTTATATAAAGGATGAAAATATGTATTTTGTTATTTAATAATGGGCACTTCCCACTCCCAGCCCAACCGGAAAACCAGATAGTTTGAAGAACGGGCATTTTGGGGAATTGAATCCTATTCCTTAAACAGAGCAAGAAACTTGCTGAGGACTCTGGAATGTATTTTGAAACTTGCAGGCATATTTGCTCAGTCCTGCAAAGCAGCCCTGCTCCTTCCACTCCTGAAATGGTTTTCACACCCGAAGTGGCTGAGGTGTTGCTTCATCCGGAGTGTTGCTAAGGGGCAGGTCTTGTTTATGGATGATGGGGCTGGCAGGCGGCCTGTGACGACCTGTACCCTTCCCAATTGCAGCTGCTTGACCTGATGCACACCCTCCACACACGCGCTGCCACCATCTACAGCTCCTGGGCAGAGGAGCTGCACCATCAGGAGGCTTCAGGGAGGCGGATCGAAGCAGACTCGCAGACCTTGTGGGCCGACTGCTGGTGCCCTCTGCTGCAAGGTAACAGCAACACCAGGGCTTCTGGCAGGCGTCACTGCTCAGGGCAGGGCAGGAGTTGGCCGAGGTCAGGTGTGCTGCGGCCTGTCACGGGGGATCGGCAGTAAGGAAAACTGGGGTTCAGCACCACAAAGATGGAGGGATGAGGAGCCACATGTAACGTTTCTAGAGCATCCCAAGGACAGGTTCTGGGTTGTGCCCATCAGAGCAGAGTGTGGTGCTTTTAAAACAAACCGTGTGCCTGTCTGCTGACTGCACACACGCGCTTCAGAGGGGAGCAGTTCCTGCAGCATGACTGACCTTTGCACGGGGCTAGAAAGCAAGTTGCTCTTGCTCCTTTCCTTTTGTAACAGGGCAGGTGTGAGCAACAGCTCAACATTCCCTTGGTTATACTTGCTCAAACAGTATTCCTTTCCATTATTTGGGGGAAGCTCTGTCTTGAAGTATGGAGTGCAGCCCTCCAGAGTCTTAACTATAGCCTAGGGTTGGGGTTACATCCAACAGTTCTGCACTTGTTGGGAGTGGGTGGGAAGGCTGAACTGCTTGTGGATGCAAGGACAAAGCTTCTCGCTCTCATTTTACCCTGTGCTCCTGGCAGGTATTGCCTGCTTGTGTTGTGATGCACGCCGACAGGTGCGGATGCAGGCCCTGACCTACCTGCAGCGGGCGCTCCTTGTGCACGATCTGCAAGCTCTTGACGCCCTGGAGTGGGAATCCTGCTTCAACAAGGTAGATGGAGCCTGGACTCTGGGCCACTTGCGGAGATTCCGGCCCTTGTGTTCAAACTGCTCTCATGCTCCTTGGATTGGGTTTATGGCCATTGCCCTGCTGGAAGGCGAGCTTCCGCCTGCTCCCAGCGCTCCTGCAACCCGAGGCGGGCTTTCCTGAGGAAGTGCCCCCTGCCTCAGGCCCATCCATGCCACCCCATCCTGAGCTGCTTGCACCCTTCTGAGGAAGAGCGTGCCCCACGGTGGCGCAGCACTCCCATCACCCGGGGCCTTCCCACCGAGCTGGCCAAAGGAAGTCCTCCTGTGCACGGCACCCAGCTGAACTGTGGGATTCTCGGCCCAGGGAAGTGTGAGGGCTGCCGGTCTGGGTGGCCTTAGGAGGGGATTGGACAGACCCACGGAGGAGGCGGCTGTCTGCTGGTGGCCGCGGGCCTTGCTGGCCTGTGCTCCTGCTCCGTCAAGGGGCCTCTCTGCATGCGCCAGGCGTGGAGCAGCTGGGCAGGGGCAGGTCTGGCAGCTGGTTTGTACAGACGGCCTGACTAGTTGGAGCCTGGGGCCAATCCAGCACGGCTGCTCTTGTGTTCTTAGGTGCTGTTTCCTTTACTGACCAAACTCCTGGAAAACATCAGCCCAGCAGACGTTGGTGGGATGGAGGAAACCAGGATGAGAGCGTCGACCCTGCTTTCCAAGGTGCACGGCCCCGGCTTCCCTTTCGGGGGGGGGGGGGGGGAGTCTGCTGACCTGATGTTGAGTAGCTCTCTTTAGGGGCCCTGCGGCTGCTCACAGGATGCCGAGGCTGCAGGTGTGCTTCTCAGGGGCACCCAAGGGCTGCATTCCGGGCAGGGGTCTTGCTCCGAACTGGAAGCCCTGCATTGCGGTCCAGTGCTGCCCCGTATTTGTTCTGTCCTCAAACAAAGACAAAACCTGGTTTAGTCTCATCAAAGCACTTCTTGCATTTGACAGACCTTTTAGGGGCAACATGAGCTTAAATGTTTCTCTTCAGGAATGTTTTCTTTTTGAATATATGATATATCTGTAATTTTAGCCCGAGGGGAAGAATGCCTTTCTACTCTGTGTGCCTGCCAGATAGCTTTGGAGAGCTTTATTTCAAGTGGCAAGTTATACTTGGAGCTAGAATGTAAGGGGATTTTGCCCAAACAAACAAAACCTTGATGCTGTTCTCCAGATTTCTACACTGGATACAGAGCTTGACAACACTTCTGTCTTATATTTGGCAGTGTAGGCTAAGATTAGATGAGTACGTAATATTTTGTCTATTCAATAATGTTGCTATCCGCCTCAGAATTTAAATATTGTGAACTCAGAAGGCTGGGGTGCTTAAGAGTAGACGAGGGCTTTTCAAAGATTTAGGGCAACCTGGAAGTAGAAATGGCTTGGGTATATGTAGTGTTCCTGAAGATTTCTGGTTTCAGGGATTTGGAAACCTGTACAGAAAAACCACCTAGGATCCCAAGGCTGTGTCCTTTTAAAGTAAAGACCACAATGCTGCAGCCTCCTTCCTACAATTCTTACAGTTGTTCTACATTATTCTAGGTCTTTCTGCAGCATTTGTCGCCGCTACTTTCTCTTCCCACTTTTGCTGCTCTGTGGCTGACAATTCTGGATTTCATGGACAAATATATGCATTCCGGTTCCAGTGATTTACTGGTATGTGATGTGTTGTTGTTTCAAGTTCTAGCTATCTCTCCTTGCCAGGCCCAGCTTTAGCACAGATGCAAACATTCCCTCGGATGGTCTCCACCCAACATTCTTTTGCTTTACTGGTAATGTCACCTTCGTCCTTTCACCTCCCCTGGTCTCCCAGTGTCCTACTGATCTTGTGATGACCTCTGAAGTAATTCAGAAAGAGGACCCAAGGGAACAATTTGCCATGCAGGGAGAAAGCATGCAGGAACACACAGTTCAGTTCTCTGGTGTGTCTTGCCTTGCAGCCGGAGGCCATCCCTGAATCTCTGAAGAATATGCTGCTAGTGATGGACACTGCCGGAATTTTCCACAGCGCCGACTCGCGAACTGGCTACTCTGATCTCTGGGAGATCACCTGGGAGCGCATAGATTGCTTTTTGCCAAAACTGCGGGATGAACTGTTCAAGCAGACAGTCATCCAAGGTATGCCTGGAAGCAGGGAGCGCCCTTAGCAGTATCTGAAGCTGGTGAGCAGCCTGAGGTGCATTTGGAAAAGCTGTGTCTTCGGGCCACAGAAGCATAGACACGTGGAGCCGGAAGGGCCCGTCCGGCATCGGGTCCGGCCCCCTGCTCAGTGCAGGACTCCGAGTTAGATGCGAAGTACTCCTGAGCCAAGTATTCTCTACCTTGTAATGATGCATTTGGGTTTTCCCTTAGCTGAATTTGTCCCAGCTGAATTTCATTGGTTGTTTCCAGCCTGGTGCTCCAACCTTTCAGAATCACCTTGAATCTTCTTTCTCCCACCCAGTTTTGGGTTACCTGCTGATCTGATCATTGTTCCCTGTACTTCCTCATTCAAGTCATTAATTTAAAAACTGGAAGTGCACTGGGCCCTGCTGCACCCCCCTTGTTAGCTTTCCCCAGTTTAAGGAGGAGCCATTGATAAGCACTCTCCCAGGCCAGTTCTGCAGCCACCTGATCGTTGGTCCATCCGGCTCACTTTTAGCCGGTTTCAACCCAGCGCAACTTGGTCATAAAAACGGTAGAACTCTTGAGGCTCTCGAGTCCCCCACTGCTGCTCCTGGGCCAAGTCTGAGTTGAGTCACTGGTGCGATTTGAGTTGGACTTGGGGGCGAGTCACGTCCCCGGCAGTGTTAGATGCTTCTTGGCCTTTGGCTGTCCATCTTGAGCTGCCGTCCTGCTCCGTCAGCTTGTACTTCCCCTTCTTCAGGAAGGTCATGTGTCCTCTTTTGGGAGAAGGCTGAGCCAAACTGGGAATAGAGCACCTCTGCCTTTTCTCTGTCGCGTGTTATCCTTTTGCCACCCACATTGAATAGGTGAACCCCCATTTCTTTTCTCTGTCTTACTCTGGACACATCTGAAGAAGGCCTCTTGGTTGCTTTTAGCATCCCTCGCCAGCCTCGGTTCATTGCTAGCTTTAGCCTGCCTGATGCCTCCCCCGCAATGCCGTGCTGCAGGCCTGTCTTCTCCCTTTGCAGCCCGGCCTTCCTTCCTCTTCCTGCACACGGCCCTTTTTGCTTTCAGATCATCTCTAAGTATTCTGGGAAGCCACATGGGCTTCTTCTGTTCTGTTATACCCCTTTTCTTTGTTGGAATAGTGTGTAATCATGTCTTTAGGATTTTCTTTTTTTCAATCCCTGCCCATCTTGGACTCCTTGTCTTATTAGAGTCACTTAGAATCATAGAGTAGTAGAGTTGGAAGGGCCAAGAAGGTCATTGGTCCCACCCCTGTCTGTTGCAGGTCATCATCCCACTCAAGATGTTCATCCAATTTCTTTTTGAAGGCCTCTGTGTGGGAGAGCCCATGGCCTCCCCAGGCAGCTGGCTCCACTGTCGCATTGCTCGGACCGTGAGGAAGCTCCTCCTGATGTCCTGGGCTGTTGTCACTCAGACTGTGAGGAAGCTCCTCCTGAACCTGGGCTGTTGTCACTTGACTTGATTATCCCATGTCCTACACTCCGGCATCAGCAAGAGGAGATCCTGACCTTCCTCCTTGTGGCAGCCGTTGAGGTCCTTAGAGAGGGATATCATGTCCCTGCTCAGCCTTCTCTGCCCAAGGCTGAATGTATCCAGTTCTCTCAGCCTCTCCGCATAGGGCCATGTTCCCGCTCGCCAGGGGACTTTGCTTATCACTGTTCTGAGTTTATTAAACTTGGCTTTCCCGAATCCAGGGTACCGTGCACACTTGGCTTTTGCTTTCTGTAGAATCAAGAATTCGGAATGGCATGGTCACTTTCCCCTGGAGTTCCTGTAACTGCCACTTGGTGCAATAGGACTTCTCTGTTGGTTCGAGTCAAGTCAAGGATAGTTGCCCCTCCAGTTTCTTCCTCCCCTTTCTGTTGGAGGATGTTATCAGCAACACAGGTTTGGAATCTCTTGGAGGGGCCACCTTTGGCAGAAATTGTCGATGGGGCTATTAAGTGCATCCTGCATTTCTGTGCAGAAAGCTGTATCTTTAACATGTGGTGCTACTCCGCCTCCTTTCTGTTCCTTCAATTGTTGTGTTCCTGTCATGGGAGTCCTCCCACCGAGGTTTGGGTACACTTGCCCAGCTGTATGAAGAGTTCAGGGGTCAGGAAAGGTGTGCCCAGTTCCGCCGAGGGGAGGCAGGGCGCTGAGGCGTGGGCTGGCCCTCGGGTGCCATGGGCAAGAGAGCAGGCAAGGGCGCAGCTGGGCCCCTGGCTCCAGCTCCTGGCTGAGGCAGAAGCCGACACTGCCACACCCAGCTGCCTTCTTGCCCGACGGTGGGTCTGGGGCCTCGGTGCTATAGGGTGGGGGGGGCTGCTGAGTGGTGTTCCCTGGCAACAGCCCTGTGGGAGCCACTGCTCCAGCTTGGCCACCATCTTGTCCAAGCTGAGAAAAGTCTGTGGCGCACGTGTGCAGATGCCACAGGCCTGATACGCTGTCAGGAATTGCCCTTTACGGCAATGGATACACGGTTTTCTTCTCGCCACTTTTATGCAGACCCAGTTTCCACCGCTCCAGCTGAGATGCCCGCCCCGCGGCCTACAGCGTCTGCTCTGCCACACGCCTCTGGAGGGGACACAAGGCTGGCCGCCCCTTCCCCACCTGCCGAGAGGTCTCCTGAGCTCGCAGCCACTGGTAGGTCCAGTGCTTCCTGCAGGAATTGTTGTGTGTCCATCATCCATGTGGATGGTGCTTTATAGATGAATGCACGCAGAACCCCCCACCAGAGACAAATCCCTGTCCCAGAGTGCCTCTTCCCAGCAGTGTGGGGAGCGCAGCACAGGGAGAGGAGGAGTCACTCCCACCCATCCGTCTTTCCATGAACTCGGCATCCTTCCTTCCCACCCCAACAAAAGCTGCTCTTGGCTGCCCACAATAAAATGCAAAGTAAGAGCCAAGGTATAAAATGCAAGACGTCAGTACAGAGAGCACATCTGGGGGCCATTCGAGGTGGCTCCCGAGGCCGGTGGCCTGCGTGCAGGGAGGCACTCTGCTTTCCAGCGGGTTGTCAGGAGAGGGGCTTGGCAGGAGCGCTGCTCCTCCTCCGAAAAGGCAACGGCAGCATGGAAGGAACGGGAGCCAGTCCAGGTGCATGTGCTGGGGCTGTTCCCAGTGCGAGTCAGAAGCCTGAAAGGTCGGGATTTGTAATTGCGCAAGGGGCATCCATGCGCAGGGAAGCCTCCATGCTGCAGAGAGGGAACAGGAAAAGCCGCGTGGCCAGGGACGTGGCTACCAGCGTGGCCCTTGGGCCTTTACATCCACGCTGCCATTTGCAAAACGGCCAAGAGTGGCTTGCGTGCAGCTTCGGAGGGGCACGGTGGAAGTTGCGAGATCTGCTTGTTACCTGGGGGTGAACGGCCCTCCCGAGCAAGTGCGCACACGCCTCCGTTTCCTTCCCTGCAGACTCCGCGAGTGCCTCGGCGCCGGGCCCCAACGCACCGGGTCCTTCCGGAGGGCAGCATCTCTCCCCGGCAGCAGCGGCAAAAGCGGGCCCAGCAAAAGACGTTTCTCCACCAGTGGCCCAGCAGCCTCTCATTCTTCAGCCTCTGGCCTCCCCCTTACAGGTGGGAGTGCCCCCGATGACTCTGCCCATCATCCTGAACCCAGCCCTCATCGAAGCCACGTCCCCTGTGCCTCTCCTGGCCTCGCAGCGGCCTGCTGACCCCATGGCAACCTCGGAAGTCAACTGAGGGGAGGAATGGGGCAGCGGGTGTCACGTGAGGGAGCCATGCGTGCTGTGGGGGGGCTCTCGCTGACCTTCAGCTGCCCTTGCTTCGTGGTGGCTGCCCTTCCTGCTGCCCCTGGACTAGCTCCCTGTGGGCGGGCGGGCCGGCCGGCCGGACAAACGGACCGACCGCTCCCTGGCAGGTGGCCAGGTCCTCTCCGCCAGAGCTTTTTGGCAGCAGCTAGTCCTTCCACACAGGCATTCTGCTGCCTGTGTCCCCTGCGGGGGGGAGCAAAAGGGCCCACCCCGGGAGATCAGGGAAGGGCCTCCCGGGGTGCAGGCCTGGCTCTGCTGCCAGAACGCTTTGGCCTGGCCAGGCGCGTGGCTCCTTCCGGCGCCACCCCTGGACTCGGGCTCCTCGGGGGCCTTGATGCGGGTGGTGCTGCCCATGCCTGCTGGGCCTCTGGGAGGACTCGGGGAAGACCCTGCCTGGTGAGGATGCGGAAAGGATGTGGAAGCCGGGGGCGAAAGGGGATTCTCTCCGAGGCCGCGTGGGGAGTAGCCGCTTTGACCCAGGCTCTGTGCACGACTCTCCTCCTCGCACGTGCGGCTGGCCGGGTGCCCTCCAGACCCCCCGGACTCCCTGCCGTCCGGTGAACGGGAGGGACTGGGGGGCATCGCACCCAGAGCGAGGGGCCTCTTGGGGCGGAGGAAGACTCCCCCATGGTACACGCTGCAGTTCCCTCAGGAATGGGCTGATAACATTTTCCTTCTGACCTTCGCCAGCAGTGCCCCCTTCGGGGCGGGGCGGGGGCTGCTTTCCTGCACCTCCGGCCTTCGCGCAAGAGCCGAGCGACCTGCGTCACGTCTAGCGCTTCCCGCCTGTTTTATGTCGGGCTGAAATGCTCACGTTTATTGCAGAATCCTGTTGGGAACTGAAGCCAGTGTCTGCTGGGTGGAGCAGCAGGTGACTGTGAGCGTGGATGTGCGCGCGTGTAGATATATATATTTATATATATATATATATATGGAGTCAGTTGACTTTTTACAGTGGAATAAATATGACCTGTAAATGAAGTGCCTGCCGTGGTGGAAGCTCCTTTCTCCCAGTGTTGACCTGCTGTCTTTGAAGTGGGGGCAGTTTGGGGGGGCCGGCCACGGCTCTTTTGCCCCGTGCTGGGTTGCTGACCAAGGGTCAGTCCCTCTGCTGCTTGAAGTGGGGTGCTTGGCCAAGGGTTCCGGGTGGTGACGTTCAGCATGAATGTGGGGGGAGGGGGAATAGCACATCGTGAACTGGGGATCTCAGATTTTGGAGGGCAGCTTGGCGCCCACCAGATATTTTTGGCTTCAACTCCCATCAGTCCCAGACGGCATGGCCAAAAAGGCAGGGTGGTGGGTGTTCCAGTCCAAAGTGTCTGGAGGCACCAGGCTGGAGGGTTCTGCTGGCTGCCGCCTGTGGCAGACTCGGGGGGCGCAGGCGAGGAGCCCCGAGTTCCGCCTGCCGCCCTGTAGCAGGTTTCTGCAGCCCGGGGACCCACTGCCGAGGTGGCCCCTTCGGGCGCTGCGTTGGCCCCTCGGTTGCCCATCCAGGGGCAAGAAAAGCAAGCCGCGTCTGCTGCACTGGCCTTCTCGGCAGTTCGCTCTGGGACTGAGGAGGAGGAGGACGCAGCAGAGCGGCCTCTGGGCTGCTGATCCAGGGCCCGCCCGTCCTGGACCCAAGGCACAGCAGCCCGCCCTCCTGCAGAGGGAAGGCCGGAGCGCCCGCGTCACGCGCTGACTGGGTTAGTAGCTGCTGCTTTTCCATGGCAGCACGTCTTCCAAACAGTTTGCCCCTCTGACTTCCCCAGGAGCTTCCTTTTTCAGTACCTTCTGCTCGAGCATCAGCCATGCCATGTCTTGCTTTTCTAGAGCCATTTCTTAGGTTTGGTGGTTTGCCCACTGAAGCAGCTCAAAATTTGGTGGTTTGCTAACTGAAGCCGCTCAGCATTGGAAGAATCAGCAAGAATATGGTGAACTGGATCGCAGCAGGAACGTTCCCAGCCTTTTCCAGTTCTAAGAGGGTCGGGGTCAGAGACTTAGAGATATCATTCCAAATCCTCAGCTGAGCGAGATACTCTCCCTCTTGCACACCCCGTCTTTCAAATCGCTGCCAGGGACATGGGGATGGGGGGGGGGGGTAACAGCTCTCCAGAATCCACTATTCAGTGGTCACAAAAAATGTGCAGCCTTCTGAGATCATCCAACCTCTTTTCCATGCAAGTTGCTGCACGAAGCAGGCTGGCCTGGCAGGGAAGGACGCGGAGAGAAGGCCGTGCTGCTGTGAGCGGCGTAGCAGCCTGACCCTTCCAGAGGTGACCTGGAGGAGGAGGAGGAGGAGGAGGAGGAGGAGGAGGGCAGTCAAGCTGGCCTGGCCAAACGATGCGAGGGCGTTGGACTTCGCTCCCTCCAGGACCACCTGGACGAAGAAAGCAGAGCGCTGTAATCCCCCATTTTCAAAAAAGTAGAATCCGGCTGCCAACGCAAAGCTGTCTCCATCTAGGGCAGGGGTCGGCACCCCGCGGCTCCGGAGCCGCACGTGGCTCTTGAATCCCTCTGCTGCGGCTCCGTCGCTCACAGCCCCCGATCTGCAACCCACGCCAGCACAGCACGGCACGGCCCCCGACCTGTTTCATAAATGCAGCACACTATAGTTTTTTTATACATAGCATAAAGGTAAAGAAACTGATACATGCAGTGTTGCCTTCATTTGAGAGGTCAAAAGGGTTTTGCGGCTCCCGGTGTTTTCTTTTCTGTGGGAAACGGGTCCAGATGGCTCTTTGTGTGCTAAAGGTTGCCGACCGCGGGGCTAGGGCAGTCCAGACATGTTTCTTGACTGCTGGCAAACAAACAGAAAGCGGCCAGGCACCTTCGGGTCCGCTGTGTCCGGTCCCCATCGCCCTGCCCATCGCAGCTGGACCTTCCCCGTTCGGTGCCAACTCTTCCCATTTGGCTGCAGCTTTAGGCTGCCCTCTTCTCTGAGGCGGGGCGGGGGGGGGTCGTGGATTTTGGGTAAGTCTTGCAGTACTTGCTGAGAAACGATTCAAATGTTCTAAGTTGTTTGGGACTTTCGTATATCGAAAATGACGCGCTACTTGATTGCATTAGTGGGATGCATTCTTAAACCTCATGGTTGTAAACCTCCCAAGGGGCCGCGGGGAATGAAATGGAGAACACCGAGGAGAGAGCAGCGAGGCTTGATGGGCAGGCCGACGGGGCGAGGCAGAAGCGCCCGGAGGAGGCGGCCGAGCGCGCTTCACCCCCGGCTGGCGGAACGGCGCTCCGGAGGACGGAGGCCCCTCGGCGGCGGCGGCGGCGGCGCGGGGCTGCGCTCGAGGTCGTCAGGAGGCAGGCGGGCAGCCCGCCCCGCGAGCAGCTCGGAGCGCGGGTTCCCCCGCTCCGCTCGGTCCCCCTGGGGCGCCGGCGTGGTGCCCCGTCCGCCGGGCGGTGGCACGGCCCTCGCGCCCGGAAGGAGGCAAGTCCTGCAAGCGCTGGGGCCGCGGCGGCCTTCCCGCGCCCGCCCGCCCGCCGCGAGTGCCGAGCTGGAGCGCGGCCCGCTGGAACCCGCGAGCGGCGGGAGGAGCGGGGCGAGCCGCGGAGACGGGCGCCCT